TATTTATATATTTATTTCATTTCTATTCATCAAACCACTTAAATACTACACATACAAGTCATGATGCATGTTCATTCTTTTAATAAAGCAAACAAAGAAATACAATTAATATTATATTCTATCCCATTGCAAACAACTAAACTTGCTGTTAATTCTATGAAAAATTATTGTGTGTTATAATAATGTACATTATTTGTTAGAATAATGAAACTTCTTAGGTAAGATAATATACTTTATGATGAGTTAGAATAATGTATATTAAATTTTAGAATAATAACATTATAAGTTATAAAAATATATGTTGCAGTGAGTCGCGTGAAAGAAAAATACTTAAAATAATAACATTTTTAAATCGTGATCTACACAACTGTACGAACCACGTTCCACGCAATAACTATTGCAATTCTATACATTAGTCATATCACTCCGATCCCTCTTTCTATATAGTGGATTGGGTGGTTGAGGATGGCAAATTGAACAATAAACGTGGGTTTTTATATTGTGCTATATATGGAAAAAAGAACAAGTGGAGGAGTAGTGTAGGAGCTGAATTTCTTTCTTGTAGGAACAATAAAGTAATTAATATATAGTTGTGCATTTATTTTTAGGTGACTAGAAAATTTACAGTCATTATCTAATGATTATGATATGCGCTTAATAAACTTTAAATTTGTATAATAGCCCTCAACTAACATTAGAAAGTTAAACTATATAAAAAGATCTCATTTGACAAGCTTAATTGAAAAATTATTGACAAGAATTAAATTTGTGACCATCGGGAGCAATAACCACACAATTGTGGCACATTTTTTAAGTTTCAATTCGTTTCTGTTCCAAGTCTTCCATCTACTACCATCATATCATCAATCCATTTATATATCCACCCCACTTGCACACCCGACTCTTAATTTTAAAATAATAAATAATACTTAAACTCCTAAACAAATAAAGAATCAATATTCTGTTTCAGGAAAAAAAACAATATTATATTCTTTTTAATTACGATTTTATTTAATTTTTAATTAAAAAATACGCAGTGCAATATTATATTAATTAACAACATCTAGTTACTTATTATTGTTATGTATATTCTTTTTGGTTTGCCGAAAAATCTACTATACTATCTGAAAGTTGTGTATTCTCTTTGCATTATTTTAAATGAAATTGCCTACATACATGGCCAGTCAGTTGGTCACATTGGTGAAGTTTGGAAACAATGACCCGGGATCAGGTCTCACCAACGATAGTGTGGGAGAAACCTCCCAGATGCTTTGTCGAGTCGAGGAGTATTTTAAATGAAATTAAAAGTCCTTAGTATCGGGTTTATCCTACGGAACTCTGAGGGACATTTCAAATTCCTGGGAGTCCGCAAAGCTCAAGTCGAGTTCGATGCGCGAAACCTCCTAGATGCTATGAAATTAAAAGCCCTTAGTTTCGGGTTCATCCTGCGGAACTCTGAGGGACATTTCAAATTCTTGGGAGCCCGCAAAGCTCAAGTCGAGTTCGATGCGCGAAACCTCTGAGGGACATTTCAAATTCTTGGGAGTCCGCAAAGCTCAAGTCGAGTTCGATGCGCGAAACCTCCTAGATGCTCTGTCGTTTTCGAGTTCTGAGGGACATTTTAAATTCCTACTCTGAGGGACATTTCAAATTCTTGGGAGTCCGCAAAGCTCAAGTCGAGTCTGATGCGCTCACGGTAATTGACCATCTCTTAGCTAAGAGTTTTCTTAATATTAATTTTGTGTTTGCTTAACGTTTGCGAATAAGGCAGCCTATAGACTTGCTAGAGGGCTAGGGAAGCTAAATTCATTGCTGAGCATAGGGAGTAGAAGTTGTTCTCTCCTAACTTTCTTTGTGATGTTCTTTGTAATGACTTGATCTAATGAAGGTGTTGTTTGTTTTTCCAAAAAAAAAAAAAAAAAGTTTAATACTTCAATGTAATTTAACATGTTTTATTTACATGCATCCCATGCGTATGATGCGACGGCTGGCAATAATGACACTTCCAAAAACAACCTAACATATGCATCATATATATCCACGAAACATGTGAAATTTCATTATTTCAAGGTAATAATTAACGCTAGTGTGGTGAAATTGACTGCATGATGTTTTTTCATATGATAGTGCTAGGGAATTTGAAATGTGGTGTAAGTGAGGATTCCCATCATTCCTCGTTATCTTTAATTGATTAAAAATTTTAGAATAAGTCATCAGTAGTGAGATAATTAATTGTATAATACGTTCACTTTTTAACAAACGTAGTAAGCCGTCAATTTCACAAGCATTATGTGCAGTGTAATAGCTATCAATATAATTCTCCGATCCCTACAGATAGGATTGAATTGATGAAGCAAGGTGTTTGACAATGCCAAGACGAATTGAAGCCATTAACACCCAGCTTTGGTAGTGGAAGATAATATATGTATAGTGGAAGTTGTATATATTGGAAGCATATTTCAATCCATATATAGCTAAAGCACTATTTCTTGCACCATAAAAGCCAAAGCAACAACACGCCTCGAAAGGAGTGAACACATAAGTGGAACATGATTCTCGTACATATCTATCGCAGGTCTGATCTTTCTAGTGCAATTTAATTCTTCTGTATAATTTGCAGGCTATTACACATGCTGGAGTAGAAATTACCCAATACACTCTTGAATAGCAATTGCAAGCTAAGTTTCTATTGTAGTTTTAAAACAAAAAAAAATAACAAATAACAAACAAAAACAAAAACAAAAACAAAAAAAAGCAACAGGACTCCATATAATAAAGTCATCCCACCAAATATCTTTCTGTACTGTCTATTTTGAGGCACTGTTTGTAAGGATAAATATAATGCGCTCATATTTGTGGCCAACTGGTTGTAAGTGACAACCCGGTCCAAACAAGTTGTAGGAAATGAATGATTATTGGAGTGATTTCTCTTAATATATGATTATGGTATGATATACTAGCAAATCTTTAAATCTTTGTGCATATCATTGAATATTTGATTTCAATGATTTGTTTTTTTTTTTTTTTTGTGTGACCATAATTTTTTAATTACATAAATTACGACTTAGTAGTTGGTAATTAATAATATATATCAAGAAGGTTGAGTTGAAGAGGAAGTGATGTGTGGCAAATTATATCGTGCACCAGGCTCAAAACGACGTTGTTTTGTATTTTTTTCTGTTTCTGTCGTTAATTTCTAAAAAAAAATTCATGTTTCGTATGTACAAAGTTGTATAGTAGAATACACATAAACTCATAACATAAATACACATAATCTAACATAATACATGATACATATAAACTATTAACATAATACACATAAACACAAGTCTTAAAAAAAAAAAAAAAAAAAAAAAAAAAAAAAAAAAAAAAAAAGAAGTAACTGTAACAAGATCGGATGGACAGAACGGTGTCTGTCATGTTAACTTCCCACCAACTTATAAAAATATCGTCGTTTTAGGTGGCTCCGATTTTTGTTATATATATATATATATATATATATATATATATATATATATATATATATATGGGAAAACCTGATTTTTGTTTAATATAATTCTTCATTGCTCTCAATCAACTTTTGGTGGCTTGAGTATCTCGATCATTCCAGCTTAAACTACTATCTTGTTAATTGATTATTCAATTCGGTTGTTTAAAGTTTAAGTCACTCATTGCATCACATACCATATATGATTTTAATAAATTGTGTTGGACGTTTAGATATCTAATACGGACAAAAGTAGATTAATTAAAGCTGACACATTTACAATGGATTAAATAAACATATAAGTGATGGTTTTGTAAGGGTGTTTGGTAAATAATTGTTAGTTGGTTGGGTTAGTGAATTTGACTAGTTGATAGCATTAGTTGATTGTAGAAAAATATTTGGTAAATAAGTTGTTAGTTGATAGCTGATTAAATATAAAATGACTTTCTCAAAAAATAATCGAAAAAATTGTTCAGCTTTGAACAGTTTTTTGAATTTTAGCGTTTTAAAACAACTAACTGTTACAAAAAGTTAATTAATCAAACACTTGTATTAGTTATTGGTTGATAAGCTAAGTACGTTATCAAACAAAGTCTATAATTACTCAAATTACCAAGGATAATGGGAATGGTGACCAGCTGCGCAGGCAGGCAAGGACAATGGTCAAGTTGCAGTAGTCAAAACTCAAATCATTTTGTGGGGAGAAAAAACAGATTGATTATTACATGCCACTAATACAATTAAATCGCCCAAATGGCCACGTATATGAAGTTAACTTGTCTGCGACATGGGGCAAATGCCTAAAAAACAAGGAACCATGTCACGTGAACTTGGGTTTTGTACTTTTGTTGAAGCATGGAGGACGGTCGTTGGTGGTTGTTGAAAATGTCGTCCGTTGGAAGGGTTTCAATGGTTGGGTGCCACGCCGCCTGGCCTTATCGGAATGTTCCATGAAATGATGACACTATCTTAATGGACTTCAACTCACAGTACAGATGGAGAGGTGGTGGTGAATGGTGATCCACTCAGGTTAATTGAAAGCAACACTAGGGGCGGTTTTTGGTAAATGGTTGTGAGCTGATAGCTGATTAGGTTAATTAGATGGTACCTAGTTAATATGTCCTTAACTGAGTATAGAAAGGTATTTGGTAAATTAGTTGTTTGGTATAATTTCTGTTCTCAAATAGTTAATTGAAAAAGTTGTTTTGAACAACTTTTTAAATTTTAGTATTTTAAAACTACAAATTAAAGTTAATTAATCAAACACTTATATTAATTTTTTAACCAAGTTAAACAATTAATAGCGGTCAAATAAACCAAAATTAACAGATAGGCTAACTATTTTACCAAATAGGACCTATATGCACCCAATGTATGATTGTGTTTGTTTGCCGGTTGAAAACCCCCAAGAGCCCCTAATCACAAGACATTCAAAGATTATTTTTTAAAAAAAAATCTCTAATAATCACATGATATTTTTCATATACATAAAGACATTAAAGATTGAACATGAAATCCGACTAAATTACAAGGTTTCTGGACATGTAATTAATCTGATCTCACTAAATTACAAGGTTCTTAACATCAAACATGAGTGATTACAATTGCAAATGTGTGTTAGGTAAGGATGGTAAGATAAAAGAACACATAGGGCAAAATATGGGGTTGAGGGTCACATTTTGTGGACAGGATAACTTGGTTTTGGACATCCAAATTACAAGGTCATTAACATCAAACATGCATGATTAACCATGCTGAGGTGATTAGCACTAATCAGAGATGGCATCTTGTCGTTATTCTTTTTTTGTCACAGCCTGTGCAGAAGATTTGACTAAGACGACACTACTGTTTGAGGTGATAGCACATACAAGGTGGGTGTCTGTCTCTTTGGTTGTCATTTCGGATCTTCAAATCCCTCTACTCTTTTGTCTTGTTTGGATTCTGGTATCACTCTATGCTTCACAAATTTTCTTTTTTCATGTCTTTTCTGCTGCTACATCTACACACTACACAATTGCCCATTTTCTGTTTACTTAATGCACAAAATTCCTTGGGTTAGTATACCAGGCCCAATAAACAAACAATCTGGAGGTCCAACTTAACAGGGCCTAAATTTACAAGCCAATTACACTTAGACTACACAGAAAACAGAAATCTATATATCCCACTCTCATCAGCTTCTAAATTTAACTGTGATATGATCTAACCTAGCTACAAGTTTGCTTATGTGTTGGTGATGTCTCTATATCTTTTACAATCAATGATAACAACGTAGGAGTAACCTCTTCCTCGGCCCTTTCCACTGCCTGCCAAGAACTCAATCAAGTCAGACAACAAGAGGGATATATTCATATTATATGAATGAATCATAGGATGCTTTGCTTACAGTTGTGCCTGGGATTTTATTGCTGTTTAGAGCTTCAACCTGCGTGCAGAAAAGAGCAGAGACAGGACGATGATCTGAGAATTTGCTTTCGCTCCGGAGATAGGATAGCTGATGAATTCCCTTGCCATACCATAGAATCCTGTCACACCTGCACCCACCAACCGGTAGTCAATAGTAAATCAGCTTAAATTGTTCATAGCTGACTGACTCATTGGTCTATAGTGTTGAGACTTAGTTTGTGTTAGTTAATCTTTTACCTAATGCATGTACTTGTGACCTTGACCAGACAGTAAATCAGTCTAGGTTAGTTGTTCATAATTGACCAGATAGAAGGTGAATAAGTTGTAAAGGAGATGGGCTTATAAGTAGCATATGTACCATGCGGGGGTTCTTTGCTTCTCTCCGGCTGCATTTGGAAGGCCGCCGGAATATATATTTGCGTTAGAAGAAGAGTACTTGTATGTGGGCGCGAATTCTATGTTTCCTTCCCGCCAACCTTCAAACACGCCGCCGTCTTCCTGCTCCCGCCGGAGCTGATCGAACTTGTGCAGTGAGTTCCAGTCGTGCTTCACTATCAACTGCCGGGCTAAATTGTCTTCCAGGTATAATCTGTAGTTGAGATCGCCGAACCAGAATATCCGGCTGCTCTACAACAAAACACATCAGGGCTCCGGGGGAATAACGTCCAGAAATTAAACTTGGGATATGCTTTCTGAGTTTCCGCAATAACTTACTCGTGTCCCAGGATTGTGAGGGGATGAGGAGGATTACTGTCGCCGTCTTCAGGGCTCCGGGGGAATAACGTCCGCCGGAAAATCTCGGACACTTGGTAGTTTCTTCTCCCTTCATCGCCCTTCTTCTCGCCGGAGGCCAAATGTGCCACCACAAAGCAAAAACTGGTTCCTTCTATAGTCATGCTCACAGAAACTGATCCCTTGTTGCCCAAATATCCCATGATTCCACACGCCACTGATGAAACCTTCACGCCTGAGACTCGATATCTCCTCAACAATTCCTTTCTCATCCACACGCTGATGAACACGCCCACCATCTTCTTGCTAGCCATTAATTTGTACCTGCCGGAGTGAAGATCAGTGGCCTCATTGTACTCGTAATCGTCGTCGCTGGAGATTGGTTTAACCATGGGAGTTAACCAGGGACACCCATATTTGTCGTTCAAAGTCTTCCCAATCAAAAGGTTCCATTTTGTGGCTTCTGTTGGATCTTCTGCTCCTATCACTGTTTTTGCCTTCAATGGCACAATTTCTTGAAATCTGTACCATAATGTTAAGTTGCAAATATTCGACTTTGTTGAGCATATAATATATATAAATATAAATGTGCAAACCCACTATACGTTCAGGCTTTTAGTTGAGATAGAACACATGCTTCAATTTGGTATCAAGTAGCCAAAGAGGTGAAACAAATTTGACAGTGAACTTGAAAGTTATAACTATACTTACCCAAGAACATAAATGTCAGCTGCTTCTTTAAGATTCAGCCATTCATCCAAATCAACGGCCAAGCTCCCCACCGGAGGCTTTCCGGCGACGTTCCACGTTCCCACAAACAGTCTGCAAAACAGAGATCAAATAATAATATCTCCAGCCAGACAGACAGACAAATTAATATAGATTCATTGTTCACCTTAATTCATTGTCGGGAAAGCAGGGCTCTATCTCCAACGACCGAACACAGACTGCGCCCATGCCATCATCACTTTCATCTATCAAAAATTCAAAACAGAAAAGAAAATCAAACACACACATATATACATATAAATACCCGAAGAAAAGTGGACGGATTGTTATTATTACTAGACCTGAAGAATCAGTTAAACCAGAGAGATGAGGTTTCTTATGCCAGCGTTTGAACCACCACTCGAACCGTCTTCTCGAGTTATGCTTTCTTTTATCCATACTTGAGGAAGAAACCTTCCATGCCAAAAAGGGTAAGTACGACGTTGTACTTTCAAATTAAAGCTTCAATTCTTGCCTGTTTCATCAAAGGGAGACAGCCATTTTGTTCTTCATCATATCATCGTCAGAATATTGACCGGCGCTGAGCGTGGGTTTTGCAGAAATCTTGGTGGTAATGATCGCCTTACCAGGAAGAAAATTAAATGGAGTGGACAGAAGGAAAACGACAAGCGACGGTTTTCTCAAGGTATGTAGATGAGAATGTCTGGTTGAGAGGCAGCCAAATGGGTCAAAGGTGGTTGAACAGCATCTTTGAGGAGCTTGTCTTACGTTTCATGGTGCTGTCTGGTCTTTTGACTGCTTCTTCTTCTAGCTGGAAGGAAATTGTTACAGAGAATATTGGGCTCTCAGATCTTGTACGTCTGTGCTTATTTTCTTGAGTTGATAACTATCTATGTTAATAAGAGGGCTAGCAAACACAAAGTTGGAAGATAAACTGGGTTGGTTTTATAACAAGGGCAAGTAATTACTAATTAATTTCCAGACTCAATATCAAATTAAAATACCTTAGAATATCCAAAAAAAAACATTATCAAACCCTGAACCCTATGCTCCGATGGTACTAATACATCTATTTTTCTCCTAAATAGACTCATCATAAATGTCACAAATTATTACACACGAATTTAATACAATAACTGTTACTCCGTATTATTTAAGACTCCATTATTGCGAAGGAAATCCAAGAGCCAGTTGCATTTATTTCATAATTGTGAACGCCACTGTTAGCCCTTTCGACTACAGAGCGGACCGAAGAATCCCAGTTGGCCAGTTGGCGCTCAGCACAATCATCACGCCAGGAACCTTGCGCAGTCTCCAACCCATCAAGCTCGAAACTTGTAAGCTGGTTCAAAAAGACCAAAAAATCAACGGGTTTAAGGCCGGTAAAAATTTGTACCCTTAGAATGAATGTAGATGTAGTCCTACAAAACATGTTAAATGTACGAGTTAGAATTGTAATCGAGAAAATTACCACTTGTAATGTTTAGTATCAAAATCAGCAAGAAAGTTTGGACACGTAAACAGGGGTAGCTTTCTCAGAGTTGCGACATTCTACCAACTCAGAGAAGGTGTCTTTCAAATCCACCATCAAAATTAATGTTTGATGTTTCATTCTTCTAATGACAATCTTATTCCATCCATTCCTCCCCACCAGTTCTTTGTTTGCCCTAGAAAACAAGCAACAAAATAAATAGCCATAAATGGGTGATTGGGATGTTGGGGCTGATAACATTGGGGCCAATGTTCATTTGGCGTTTCCATCTTTTTTGTTTTTTAGTAGTCACAATAATATGTGGAGAAGAGGCCATGGTTGATCTTTTCTTGACCAACTTGTCATTCTCAACCACAAAACAGTATAGAATAAATCAAGAACTCAGAAACTATAGTTAAAAATGATCTTTGAGTCTTGCATTTGTGTGTATTCTTTTCCTTGTTTTTTTTCATTTTTACATGTCAGATAAATCAGGAGAATTTTCTTTATTACAGTCATAGCAAGGATAATAATATCATTAGTCGAAGTAGCCATCGAGAAGTTGAGGATATTCTAACTGCATTTGCCTGTCACGAGCCAAGATGTTCTCCACGAAAGAATCCTCTGCCATGGATGAGCTAGCTTCTCCATGAGACTTATCTGTCAAGCCTTCAGTAATGTCTTCATTCATGCCTTCATTCGTGAAGCCACAAATAGGCCCCGCCTCACCTTGGACCGATGGTGTCATAGGATCATCCGAGGAAAATGTTCCTGGGAATTTGCTGTCCTGTCTTGGCAGTTCTGTGTCTGCCATTGGACAAGGATCTTGAAGGATAAACTCGTTCCAAGGGGTGGAGGAAGAAGAAGTTAGGAATTGACTCAGAGGTTGTTCATATGAAGAAGAACAATACTGGGATGAGGTGAAACTGTGCGGCGGTTGAATGGGTTCTCGGGGGAAATTATGAACCAAAGGGCTGTTCTGGATCTGGAGGTGTTGGTTCATTTCTGCGCTAACAAATCTGGAGTTTGTGGGAAAAGAACGCGGTTCTGGTTCGAAAAGCGCCTCGTTTTTTATGGTGTTCTTGAGCAAGGCGTTTTGGTTACTAGGACTAGGGAGGCCACTCAGCTTCCCAAACTCGGCAAATACCTGAGAAAAAGGCTTATGAGTTAAGGGATCAATTCCCATGTTCTTGAGCTTCTTCTTCAACTTAGTGTTCCAGTAGTTTTTCACATCATTATCTGTTCTCCCAGGTAGATGCTTTGCTATTAGAGACCACCTAAGGAGAAAAAGCAAACATTGGACAATTGATTCGATGACCGTCAATTTTTCCCAGAATTTATACACCTTTACCTGCTTCCTATCGTCTTGTGAAGCTCAAGAATGCACGCTTCTTCCTCGGGTGTAAAGTTGTCGTGCTTGAGATCAGGGCGCAGATAATTCGTCCATCTCAGCCTGCAGCTTTTCCCGCACCTGTTCAGTCCTTCACAAACTCATCCAAGAAAAGATTAAAACACCGAACAAATTCTTTAAGACACTGTACGAGAATAAGTAATGTAGTACCTGCTTTTTGAGGAACCAAAGTCCAGTTGCCAATCCCATGGCTGGCAACATAGGCAAGAATCTTCGCATCTTCCTCAGGAGTCCATGGCCCCCTCTTCACATTCGCTTTGTCACAACAAGGTGGCCTACCCATCATCTCATCAGAAACAGAAAACAAACTGAAACACAGAATGTATCAGAAGAGAGAGAGAGAGATAGATGCAATGGTGATGCAACTTCTCACAAGTCTTGAGAGTACAATTAAAGAAGGGGGGGTTGTATAAAACTGGCAAAGACAGCACGGAATGCATGTAATTTGGCTCCCCATATTAACAACAATTGCATGATTCCATCTTCGCCTCAAGAAAACTGCTTGACGTGACATGAAAAATATTGCATGCCACACTCTCTCACACACACCAGGAGAGAATAATGTATTTCAGGTACAGAATGAGTGAATTATTTGGTTAAGGTATCAGTCTCTTACAACTGTTAAAAATCTCAACAGTAAATCATATATACCACCCTGCCAAGATAAATTTTCTATGTAAAAATGACTCTGTAATAGGCAAGTTAATTTGCTCACTGTCAAGAGAAATTCCGATCCTTTTCAAGTATAGCATGTCTAAACCAAAGTTTCTATAAGATATACAAGCTGACACAGACTCATTGGGGAAAATTTCTCGCTTCATAAACCAGTAAGAAACAGAAACCCCCGTGTCGATTGAGTTTCCCTAAGATGAGCATACTTCACAGCTTTTCCTACAGTGTCCCGGAGAATCTTCGGTGCCCACCATATATAAAGGATTCTTTTCACATTCACCAGCAGCAGCCCAGCGGGAGCAGTTTGAGTTCTTATCAGTGCATCCACTGGATGGTATCTCAAAAGACCGCACGTGAATCCATTTTGTAGCCGACCACTTCTCGCCTTCAAGCACAGGGCAGCTTCCATGTAAGCTCAGAGGGTCAGTCGTAGCGTTGAGATGAAGACTGAAAAACAACAACGCATCACCCTTGTAAGGTTTCACTGCAAGCAAAAGACACAACACGGGTTAGATAACAGAAATCTAGCCCTAGAGCTTCGTTTAACGCCATGCTGAGCATATAACCATTAACGTGCAATCCAACTATTAGCTTAGGCTTTTAGTTGAGATGAAGCACATGCTTCAATTTGGTATCAGAGCCAGACCAAAGCTCATGGGTTAGAATGCAACTACGGTCCACGTGTTGCTTGGAACCCACCCCACACGTGAGGGGGCGTGTTGAGCATATAGCCATTAACGTGCAATCCAACTATTAGCTTAGGCTTTTAGTTGAGATGGAGCACATGCTTCAATTCATGCCACAACATTTTTCTCTTTTCCGTCGGATATGTATACCTGCATAGCCATTTTTAGCACAGTCGGACCAGTCCTCACCCTTTGGCTGAATGTCTTTGTTCTGCACGTTTTAAACAAGTAAAAGATGATTGTGTGTTATTAACTTGTATCACCAACTAAACTATTAAAAAACGTATGGCAATGTAGCACATACCTCGGAACTAGGGAATATGGTTTCCCCACCCTTCTCAACAGATGATAAGTACATAAGAACAGTAGCCACACGATGACCCCCTAGCTCTTGATTGGCCAAGTCGTGAAAATAATCAAAATGTGGTTCGTATTTTTGTCCGTGTTCATATCGCAAAATTTGGATAGATTCTCCATTCTCTAAACATCAAGTTCAGGTAGAATCTAGAGTGTGAGGATGATTGTTTTTACTATTAAAATGGGAGAAGGAACAATAATAGCATCTGCGAAGTTACCTGGAGGTAAGAAAGTCCAGGCAGCTATCCTGGCTTCAATATTAGCAACAATTTGATCCTGTAAAAAGAGGGACACGTTTTATTTTTCTCATTTTGAGATTTGGATCGGATATAATACGCAGCAGTTCATCTCAGTAAATTTTCTATCAGAACAAATAGTGGCACCGTAATAACTATTTCAAGATGTCAACTTGTAAATTCATGCACAAGAAGAGCTAAAGCTCCAACCAGAAGATACCACATCGTTGAAATTTCAAACCTTAAACATTTGATTCACTTATGTTCAACTCATTCACACACTATTATAAAAAAACAATCAAGATTTGAAACAAATTGTAAGAGGTAAAAAGCATAGAAAACAGTCAAGAACTTGTAAAATGTGGATAAATCCAGTTTCACGAACCTGAGCCTTTCTAAGAAAGGTGCCAGAACTTGTCCGAACTTCACTCTCGATGCTCTTTCCCGAATCATTGTCAGCCACCATGGATTTCTCCAGCTTATCTCTAGCCTATTCATCCAAATTCAATCACCCATTTACCATTTCAACAAGTCGAGCTAACGAATTTCCTAACATTAAACTTCGGTAACATTCTCATAACCCTTTCCTTTTCCCTTTAACCCGATAACACTGAAAAAAGTAAGGCGGTTTCATGAATCTTTTTTCCTCAACTGGTAACAGTAAAAGTAACATGTTTTCCATTTCACATTCTCACCAAACAGACATATTTGCTGATAAATTGCAACTGTATTGATTCCCATATTATATGAACCCAGGAATAAAACACATGCACCAAAGATTGCATTTTTACCAAAAAATAAAACATAAACTAACCAGATTGGTGAGATGATCACACTCCTCGTGTGTCAAGAATCCTTTATATATAAAAGCCCTGTAGAATTCAATCGCAAACAGATCCACATATTCAACACACTAACATTTAAACATATACATAAAGCTTATAACACATAAATAAACAATGAATATACACTATACCCATCTATATATACAGTTATGTTCCATATATATTTTGAAAGGAAGATAACAATAGACCTGGGATGCCAAGAGATTTGGGTGACCCGGGTCGGATCAATAACAGCTGACGAAGCTCCGGTAACCATTCGCAGCACCGGCTCTTTCCTGCCAAAATTCAGAAACGCAAAAACAAAATGAACAAATCAGCCATTGATCTGGACCCTTCGAGAAATCCGTACACAATGAGGGCGCGAGAGCAAGAAAGATACGTTTTTCCAGCTCCAACCCATCTGGAGGATTGGAGGGAGAGATCAGGGAAGACGGATAACAAACAGAGTGAGAACAAAACGAGCCGCCGACAATCCATCCAACAATGCGATTCAGAGAAAGATCTCTCGGTCTCCAATGATGGAAAACACAAAACAACAAAAGAATCAACGAGGTTTCAGTGCTGTGCCTCTGCTACTCCTTTTATATGACTTGAGGAAGAGAGAATCAAACTGCTGAAAACTTCGACTTCGACAAACTCTTCCCTCTTTCCATATAAGTATTAATTTTTTGGTTTGAAAATTCCACTGTTGCTTTTATATTTCCTTTCTGTGCTGGACCGCCCACAGCCCACTGGATTTGTGGATTTTGTGGGTGGCGTTGCTCGGTATTTGCATAGTCAAAAGTCTCTCCAGAACCTTCCTGTGCCGTGCGATTACGTTTTCGGCAACACCAATGGTGATTGATAACAGAAATATATGTACAGTTTTATTCCGTAAAAAACAATTTATGGGAAATTTTGAATCTTTGACAAAGTAAACTTATGCAATAAAATTCTTTCTTCTTTGTTGAACAATTTTACACGTTTTAAGTTTTCCTATTATCAGTTGACACTCATGTTGTTCCTCTACTTGAAAGAATGTCACAGGATCAACCCGATTCTTTAAACTGCAACAATATATATAAAAAAATATAAAACAGATATTATATTATAATAAAATAAATAATTTTTTCCAAAAAATAAAAGAGTAAATAGTACTTGAAAAAATCATTTTCGTATCATTCACGACGATTTTTTAGACTCAAATATGGTAATTAAAATATCATCATATTTAATAAGGACTCAAGAGTCATTAAGTTAGGTGAAGACAATTACTCCGTAAATCGAGTAATACCTTTGGATATTGCTCTGAAACAATCTAGATTGTTCATAGCTGATTGGTTCAAATACAAAAGATTAATAGGAAACTTTCACAAAAAATCAAACTTTGAACCTTGTGGTTACCAATCAAATTGTCTGACTTATTTGATCGGAATTGCTCATTTACTATGGCAGGTGTTTATTGCAATTTTGTTTAACCGATCAATTATAGACAATTTATACTAGTTTATCAAATTATGGTTATTTGCTAGTAAGAATTATAAGATGAACTCCTCTTAAAGTACACCTTTGAATAAAAATTGAATATTTTACCGTAAATCGGAACAATACCATAAATAAAAATAAATAAAAAATAAAAAATAAAAAAACTAGTTGTCTTATGAATGGACTTAGTCAAGACTCAAGTATATTAGTCTAGTAGGCATAAACTAATACAATATGAACATTTTTTATTTTAGTAAAACAATATTTCTTTTTTTTTAAATGAAATTTTAATGGAATGCCTCTGAAATAAAATAAAATGGAAGCCTTCATTTACATACATATGGATTTGAGTTTGATTCCAAAGTATTACAAATGGATAAATAAGTTTATTAATAACTTTTAATTATGATTATCTTTTCTAAAGCGGCGAATCATGCACTATGACCGTAAATTGCTCACAGTAAAATCAATCAATTTATAAAGAGAAATTATAATGCTTATCAGATAACATATTGTTTATTATGAATAACAATTTTAGTGTTATTTTTATCAATTTATTTGTGTTGAATTATGAATAAGTACCAATATAATATATGCACATGTATAAATAGGATACATGATTGACATTTTTTAAAAATTTAATAAATTCATTGAAATTTTTCAAAAGGAGTGGACAAATAGGTGAAACATAATATCGTATATGAATATTATGAATTTAATTTTTGTTAATATTCTTTTTGTCAAATATATTGTATAAAGTATTTTTGTATAATTTATAGTCTTATAGACTATTATATGGTATTAGAAAATAATTTTTTTTCACCGTAGAAAATAAATAAATAGAAAATGTACATATAAGTTTATTGATTTCATTTTTGTCTCATTTGTAATTTGTTTGTGGAATTGGCTTTTTGGAATTTTGGACGGAGTATATATAATAGAGCCATAAAGTATTTGTCAAACGCCTAGGAATCGTAGGATGGCCCACGGCTCGGTGAGTTAATGCTGTAGGTGGACAGTGGGGTACACCTTAACTTATAGGGTGTCTGAAATAGTAGAAACAAAGTAATTAATAGAGCCCAATTCCACCAATTTGGTTGGGCCAAGATAATGTCAACATTGCTAGTAGAAATCCTTAGTATAATTAATTCCAAAGCCCCATAAGAGTTAGGCCATAGATATCAAGTTGACTTTTTTTCTTTCTTTCTTTACATAGATTAAGCCCACTTGGTGGAGTTTGAGTTGTTATACCATGGATCAGAGTCCATCTAGTAAGGTGAATCCTGATTTTAAATAATGTATAAATTGAGTATTTTTAAAATATAAATTGTGTTTATAAGTCAAAACACATAACAAATATAGAAGGAAATTTGAAAATACAGTACAAGGTCATTAAATCATAATCTGTTAATATTGTGTGACACTAGTATTTGGAAGGAACTTGATAATCAATTACATATATGTTAGCATTCAAAAAAAAAAAATTACATATATGTTAACATTGTGTGTTCGTAGTATACAAATTGTGAATTTTTAAAATATAAATTGTGAATATTTAGACTCGGACACAAATTAATTTGCGGTGGACACCACTTTGCATCTCATCACAACAACTAAGGTAAACAGTTTTCAGATATAATTGAAGCATCTCATAAATGAAGAGGTTTGACTTAGTTCAGTTGAGACAGTGCCTCTTAAATGTTAGCTCAAAATGCTAAGTTCTCATCTGTCAATGACATACCAGAAAAACATAGGCTTGCACTTTGACCACCTGCCAATTAACTCATCCAATATCTCATCATGTCACAAGAAAATTGAAATATTTTCTTCCTATCCATTCTTAAAAGCTTAACGGCAACCAAACAAGATGGGTACCCGCCTTCTAAGTCAACTAGCATTTTCTAAAAGAGTATTGCTATTTTCATTGTTTAAAGAGTACATACTCTTGGGAACTCATAATTCTCTTAGTTTACATAGTTTGCTTATTCTTTTATTTACGAAAAAATCCCACTTGACGGATACTCCCGGTAGGGTACTCAGTCAGGTATGCACCTTGACAGATAGGACGTACAACTCGATTACTTGCTTGGAGGACGGGCCAAACTCTAGTAATCTGGCCTCGGTTCCATTGCGTGACTTGTTGACCGGCCCGGTTGAGCGACCAGATTAGGAAGTCAGAGACTAGGGGTCCCGATCGGGTGCCGCGCTCAGAGGCGGTGAGTGAAGATTCGGCGGGGATTCTTTCCTATTTTGGCGCGGGATTTTCTTTTTTTCATATTAGGAAGTTGATTTAACGGTTTGGAAGCTTGCCTAAGTTCAATTTTGTTAGTTTCTTTCTTCTTTTCTTTCCCAAAGCTCATATATCTGGTATAAATACCTATGGAATCACATTGTAAAGAGTTTCGATCAATTCTAGTGCAATTACTCTGTTCACGTTCTCTCTCAATTTTACTTAATAATTTTATAATTGTGTTGATCCGCCGTCCAACTATGATTTCACCATTACCTTACTTGTAGTTAATTTTCTCGAATGACAAATTTATATTTTTTTTGTACACTTTAACTTATAAGAAAAAGTGTAATTTCCCCTCTTGAAAAACATACTACATTTGTAATTGAAAGAGCAACGTGCAGATTTGTATTGTGTGTATAGTGGATCGTAATGGAGATCAGTGAAGAAGCTAAAAATGGCAGGGAAGGTATCAATGGATGTTAGCAGCCCATTACTTTGTTAGGAACGAGTCTGGCTTTATGATTCACGGTTCCATCGTTTCCGGCCAAAGCTCGGTACTTGTCCTTCCTAGTAAAGCCGGTGCACTCGTACGATAATGTCGCCGCAATTATCCTCTGTATGTAATTCGCGACATCGTGGCTGGATTTTCCGGCGCCGCAAGTGAGTTGACGCGGCAGCTTGTTCAAGAAGTTGACTTCGTAGGCGGGGCTGGGGTTCATGAAGAAGTAGAAGGGGTCCATTCCTTTCCACCCTGTCGCCGTCGTCCCGTGAAACACGCTCATTCTGTTCGACATCGCCACCGGCACCAGCTCGTCGGTTAATTCCGCGAACAGCGCGGAGAATCTCAGCAGTAATGGCTCCCTGCATGTTGTCCCTTCGGGGCATATGGCTAAGTCTCCTTCTTGCAATAGCTTCTTGATCATGTTGGCGTCGGTGACGCGGTCGCGGCTCAGGCGCACGGTTTTGATGGGGGAGATGATCTCGGAGAGGCGTGAGAGCGAGTATGTGACGGCCGGAATGGGGCGGCCCAGGGCGGCGGAGAGGAAAATCGGGTCGAGAAGTGTTCGGTGCGAGCATACGAAGAGGACTCCTGTTTGGCCGGTGGACTTGGAAGCTGGCGGCGGCGGGGTGCCTTTTACGGAGACTCTGACGCCCAGTGCCCAGAAAGCATAGTACACCACCGGCATCGGGAGGAGCGCCCCGGCGGCGATACGCAAGCAAGCTAGAAGAAAGCCTATTGGGATCCAGAGAATGATCAAAAGGGCCATTATAGGACTTGGCTTTTGAACCAGCCGGCCGTCGTGGAAAACTATCGGCCTTGGCAACTTGTCAGCGCTCAACGGCTTCACCTCCGGCTCCGGTGGAACCAAGTAACTTTCCTGCAACATTAACAAAATGGAAACAAGTTTTTGTTGAGTTTGTCTCATATAAGGATCAAGAATATGAATTTCTCTAGTTAATTTCAACCAACATTGCAGAGTTTCAGAAAATCACTGTCACGATAGCCCAGGCCAACATTAGGAGCCGATGAAGATCCAAATGCATTACGAACGGCGTTAGCTTTGTTTTCCCCGACAAGGATCCCAGGATGTTTCACGAACCCAGTGGCTCTGCCTTTATACGTCGAAATCTCTGTCCCCATAACCATATCAGCGCCCAAATATTCCTTCAAGAATGTCTCCGCCATGATTCTTGGATTCGCGGTGAGCACGCATCTCCTCCCACAGGACGAGAAAACGCGCCACGTCTCGGGGTGCAGGTCGGCGGAATAGAATTTGGGCAGGACGGCACGCGCCACCGACTCGATACTGGACACCTTCATCCCTGCAAACGTCGCGAATATCAGCACGCGGACTCCGGCGGACTCTGAGATAAAGTAGTAGAAAACTCCGGCGAGCGGAGTGGCCAAGAGGAGAAACAGCAGCCGGAAAATGCCGCCGGCTTCGAATGCCACGACTGCGTAATAAGGGAACGAGCTGCGTCCGACCAACAACGTTCCGTCCATGTCAGCCACCACCGAGTGATCGTCACGACCGTCGGAGGAACATCGGTCGATTGTGGGGAATTCACGAAGGACATTTGATGAATCTGTGCCGGCCATCATATCGCTGGTTTAAGTTCCTAGCTTTTCTAGTGAAAGAACGGTGACACTTGTGAGCATTAAATAGAGCGTGGGAACTAAGATATTGACTTTGGTCTGTAGGGCAAGTTTTGACTTATGCGATCAAGGCGGTCTTGCCGATATCTCCAAAAGTAGTTTGAATCGAGGGAGAGCCATCTTGGGAATTACCAAAACTGAATGTCAATGCATGGAAATTATTAGTGTATGGATCATGGTCCATAGAGTGTTATGTGTATTATATATAACAAAAATTATATTTTTAATATACTAAACGTACATTATTTTGTATTAAATATATATTATATAAAATAATATAATTTTAGTACTTATATAATGCGTTTTTTTTTAATATAATGTATGATGGGGTATGGACCCAATGGGTTAGAGGTCCAAGAGGAGAATGAACAAAGAAATGGGCTTGCTACAATGGGCTCAAAGAATAGGAGAATCTGCCCCGTGGACTTTGAGAAGACCTCGTGAAGAGCTCGAACTAGTATGGAGCCGAGTCCAGAGAGCCGACATCCACGAGAGTCGGTCTGACAGGTGACCGTTGCCACTTCAATGCCTGCCATTAATATGGGTCAATCCAGCCGTTGGAAGAGTCCCGTAGCGACGGCCCAACGTCTCTTAGACTTTATTTCCTATTACTGTGCATTAATGCTTGTATTTAACTAGTGTATAGGCCGGCCACCTATAAATAGGCCTCCCACAAAATGTTTGTGGGAGCCTTTTCCAAGTCCAGGACACTCGGAAATCACAAAGCTAACCATAGATTTTACAGCCACCTTTTTCTTACGAGTCATTTTCCACTTTTCTCTTTCGGTAAATCCACCAATTTAACAGATTGTGTTGGACCTCCGCGTGCTGCCAAAAGTCCTAAAACCAACAATGTACATTTTAAATATACTAAAAATATATTATTTGTGTACTGAAGATACAATATTTGATAATATAATCTACACAAATGTGTGAATATTGCTCCACTCAATAATGATTGATCAATGCAATACTTGGGTAGGATTAAGCATATTATTGGGAGAAGGATTAAGCATATTATTAGCATCCCCTAATATTTAAAAATTGAAAAAATGTCAAATTGCCTCTAAGCATTTGGTTCCCTAAATAAAAAAAAAATAATTCAAATATTATAAATTTGTAAATTTGTCCAATTGAGTTCAAAGTAACTTATTTAACAAGTTACTTCTTCGTATATTTGACGTGTGATATTGTTTTAAAACTTTTTCATATATCAAAGTGAAGATATAATGATATATCCAAGAAGTTGACAAGGTCTTGTATGCCAATTTTTCGGGCCAATTTTCCATCCGACCCTCATGCTATATAAAAGAGGTCAATAAATACAAAGTGTAGACATCTTCTCGTTATTGCCAAGGCCCTTTGAACAAACTATTACTATCATATCCCTGTTCAACAAGAAAAATGTATATATGTTACATCATTTATTTTTCTCTCATATATATATATATATATATATATATATATATATATATATATATATATATTACCGATCAGAAACATTTATTTTTTTTAAAAATGCGGTGATATTTTCGTAAATAATTAAATTTTTAAGTACAAGTTAATTGTGTTAAAAGTGCAAGTAACACCTTCATATAGTGCACCTAAGTACAAGTAAAATGTATTAAAAGTGCAACAAATAATGTACAATGAACGTCAATATTAAATGCACATAACATTATCATTAATTATACCAAACGTTATCATTAAGTGAACCAATGTGAAAGACATTATTATCAGGTGCACCAAATCACCAATGTTAAAAAGGTAAATTACTTTGACTATTAAGTGAAAATGATTGCACTATTAAGTGATTTTACTTGCACACTTGTGCCCAGTTACTTGATCGTACTTTTAACACATGTTACTTGAATCAAAGTTTGAGTTATTTACAAAAATATCATTGCATCTTTTTTATAAATTATATATGATCCGTTAAATGTGTGTGTGTGTGTGAGAGAGAGAGAGAGAGAGAGAGAGAGAGAGAGAGATCAAATGCGGTCGATGTGTTCAGGTGAAGCATATGGTTGAATGAGAGCCATTGATCTTATCAAAATTAACGTTTAAGATGAACACATAAAAAAAAATGGGGAACTGATTCCTGAATAATTTTCAGAACCGGTTCAGGAGATTAATTGGGGAGAAGGTGAATCCAGTGAGATGAATTGTTGAACAGTTTTTTTAATTTTAACATTTTAGAGCAATAAATTGTTACAAAAAAATTATTATTTAAATACTCCTATTGATTATTTAACCAAGTTAAACAGTTAATAATTGTCAAATAACTCAACATTGATTGATAGGCTAACTATTTTACCAAAAAGACACGTTTATTTCATATGATTGATAAAATTAATCTTTATTTTTTATAGAAGTATTATTTGTGGATCTGCAATAAAATATTAAATTGATGTATATTTATAGAAAGTGAGTTGTTAATTTTAAATTTATACTATTACCTTCTCCCATACTGATCACAAATTGCAAGTGTGTGCGCGCTTGATTTTTTTTTTTTTTTTTTGTTTTTCCGTCCATTTGATCCAAAAAAAAAAAAAAAAAAAAAAAAAAAAAAAAAAAACAAACAAACAAACAAACAAAATAAAAAAATTGCAAGTGCTTGATTGTCCTTTTATTTCGAGTAGGAGTTGGATGCTTCAAGGCGGAGGATACTACCTACTACATAGTGAGTTGGAAACTCAGCCTCGATTAAGCTTTATATAATAAAATAAAATAAAATAATATTAAAAGCAGTATAGGCTAGTAGCGTGTTTTTCTAGTCATACAAAAAAAAAAAAAACATTAAATTGTCAATTTTCCATAAAGACTTGTTTGGTGTTTGCAATTCGTTTTTTTTTTTTTTTTTTTTTTTTTTTTTTTTTTGTTACACCATGAGTTGTTTTGAATAGGTCTTAACTATAAAATGTCCCCATCGCACAAAATCGACTCAATTAAAAGGTAAAGTGCTGAATAGGTTGGCTTAGGACGCCTTATCTAAGTCAGGCTGTGTGAACTGTGTTTCGGTCTTTTTTCCTTTCGTTTCGCATGTTTTAGACCTTGATCTAGTTTAATATATTCTGCCTTCTAGTTTCAAAAGAATAAGAGAAGGATTCGAACTCCCGATCTTTCTTAAAAGTCAAGAGTCACGCCAACCAAGTTGGTTTGCAATTCATCTTTAATAATAAGATAACAAAGGATCAAAGGCCAAGTCATGTTCCTTCAATCTTGTTTCTTCCATTCAAAGATATCCAAACTGCCACCTTATTATTAACTTGAAGTAAAATCAAAGAAGAAATTGAAGTTCACCATCTCAACACTTCAATTTTACTTGCTATAAAACCACCTTCAATTCCCTGCTAATGCTCCATCTGAATTACTACAAGCAATATGAAGTTGCCAAACACGTCTCTAGTTTTCGTCCTCTCCGCTGCACTTCACTTTATAGTATACGTACATGTAGAGTCCTGTACCTTCTACGTTACTAACAAATGCTCGTTTCCGATATGGCCGGCGACCGCCCCAAACAGCGGCTACCCCGTGGTGGCAAACGGCGGCTTCTATCTCCCGCCGGGGAAAACCCATAGCTTCCGGGTGCCCGGGGATTGGAGCGGCCGCGTATGGGCAAGAACCGGCTGCGACTTCGACTCCGGCAACCACAAACCCGCATGCGAAACCGGCGACTGCGACGGGAAACTGGAGTGCGACGGCAGCATCGGCCTTCCTCCGGCGACACTGGTGGAATTAACTTTACAAGCCGATAAAGGCAAACCCGATTTCTACGACGTGAGCTTGGTGGACGGATACAACCTCCCCGTCTCGGTTGCGTCGATCCCTTCGTCCTCGAAATGCTACATCGGCGGGTGTATGAAAAGCATGAGGAATGCTTGTCCGGCGGAGCTGCAAGTTGTGAACGGTAACGGAGATGTTGTGGCGTGTAAAAGCGCCTGCTTGGCTTTCAACGCCGACTCCTTTTGCTGCCGGAATCAGTACGGAAGTCCCGACAAATGCAAGCCTAGTTTGTATTCCAAGATGTTTAAGAATGCATGTCCTTCGTACGTTAGCTATGCATTTGATCGGCCGTCTCCGATCGTTAGCTGCTCCTCCGACAAGTATTGGTTTACTTTCTGCCCGGAAAACTTCGGCAGCGGTTCGGTGTCCTCGTAGAGCAGCGTGCAAGCTGTGAAATCTGAATGATATATATAGAAGTCGTGCATGCATATCATAATTCGGAGCTTTGAACTATGCATTCCGAATATCTAGTTTAAATGTAATAAACATGATATAATAATGGAAAACTTTCTACAAAATTAGTTAATTGTAACTTTTAAAAATTGTAATTAAACACGTCTAACAAGTTATTTTATGCATCAAACTTAAAAAAAAATGAATTATTGACCTGTAATAATCGGTAGTTAAGGTTCTGACTAACTTTGACATGTAAACAATCACCGATCGTCTCCTATTGAGCTAGTCGCATGATTCGTTAGCAAGGAGGCAACAAGAAGTTGCATTCTTCAATGACAAAGGCAATCAACGATGGTGTGCAGGTCACTGGTCATTAATTTTTATGCCAGAGTTAGTCGATCAGGACATTATCGGAACTCTAAGACTAACTTTTACGTGCAATTTTGGAGCTTTGATGCACATAAATGGCATGTTGATGTGTTTAATTGCAACAATTAAAAGTTCAAGTATCTAATTAACTTTTTAAGTAAAATTTAATATTTTTTTAACTCTTTTTCCAATACTACTACTACTAATAATAATAAAACACTATAATTTTTTAAATATAAATATTTAGTTTATTTGGGCTTGTATGAATCAGTTAGCCCAAGCAAAACAAAATTCAAATTGGCACAATAATTAATAACAGGCCGAGCAATCTGTAGGGTTTGGCTCTTCTAGAACTTTCTTAGCCCAACTCAGGCAGCTAAAAGTAGGGTTTAAATCACCAAACATCCTGGTGCTTTTATAAGCAGCCTAAGCCCCAGCCGCATCCTGGTGCTTATATAAGCAGCCTAAGCCCCAGCCGCAAAACGATTGTAGTTCTGTACTTATCAGCCGTCTGCTGGTGAATAATCTTTTAGCAAAAATCTAAGTATTTACAACTCTTTTTTTCTACCATTTTGTGGCTTTTTTAGTTTTTAATTTTTTTTTTTTGAGTACTTTGTTTTTTTTAGTTATTTGAAGAGAAATCATGTGATGAGGAAAAAAAACTGCAACAATATGATAGTCATACATTGATTACTTTCCATGATTCATTGTATTTAAGTCTCTGATGATTTCTCTGGTTTTGATTTTATGTTTGTTTGTTTGTTTTTTTTTTAAATTTATACTACTATTCTTTTAGACTTTGGACATGGGAGAGATGATGAATGCACATTGGTCCGTGTTTCTGAAAATTTGTGATTGATAATATCTGTGTTATGCTGTCTGATCTCCCTTATTAATATATGTTTTGATATATTTGATTCTTATATTAATACTAGCAATTTGTATGCGCGATGCGTGAAAATTCATGCCCAATATTAAAATAGTGATAAATACAAATAATTAAAAATTATAATTTGAATTATTTATGCACAAATAATATATGTATTTTGTACACATACATATATAATTTATCATTGATAGAAATTTAATTAAAATATAATTAAGTACTAAATTAATATATAATGATTTTAATAGAATGATAATTAAAAGATAGGAAAAAGATATGATGGATATAGGTGTATAGTAATAATGATGTGTTATTAATGTTAGAATTAAAAACTAACGGTGTTATAACGGTGTAAGGGTAATTTTGTCTAATAACATTGGAATGTACAACAATTAAAGCAAAATGTATATATTTATTAGCATATAAAAAAGAGACAAAAATCAAGGACATAACTTGTATTGACACTTATTATGTTTTTAGATATTTGATTCTTATATTAAATGACTAAATGCTGTCTGGTCCTGATTTCATCAATTCTCAATAAATGATCAAATAGATAGAATATTTTTTATTTGCATAGGATAATAGTAAAATTTGTCTTTTTTAATATTATGGAAAAAATTCTATTGTGTTTAATTTGTGTACAAATTACTTGTCATTGAAGACAATGGGACATGACAAATTTAGAATCCAACATACAGTAAAAATGAGCATTCCAAGGAATTGAGTAACAACTATACTCGTTGCATACACTTCAATTATTTGACATGTAAACCTTTCCGGCATGCATGTGGTCACATAAAGTAAACATTATCATATTTTTTTTGATAATTCAGGTTATCCCACAATTTGGACTTTTTTATTTTACTTTTTAAAAGCTCTCACAACTTGAACTAAATTTTAAAGTTTATGAAATTACTCATCCAACCTATAAAAAATAAATTGAATTAATTTAATTTAAGACTCAACAGCATATTACTTGTCAGAAGGAGTCAAACTAAAAATCAAATAATTCATTAACTCAAATGCCCCCTGATTAATTTTAGGCTGCGCTGAAACAGCATGGGAATAAAATGAAATGTGAAAGTCAAAGAAATGGTCATGTAAATGGGATCAATTTTCCACCTAATAATGGACCAAGTAGTGATTAGCCTATTGATTAATTAGCGGACCAATTATATTATGTAATGCAAATTTTTACCTACCACAAAATGTTTTAAGCTATTTAATTATGTTGCATGTGGAATTGTCCACATAAGTTTTTGTGTTAAAAAATTACAATAAAAACATGGAACTAATGGAAGTGAAATATTGAAAGTGATTCTAGTAAAGAAAATTAGCATTTCTTGTATTTTAATGTGTAGTGAAATTTAATTTATAAAGTGTCTATATGTATATATAATAAATTAAGTTTAATAAAAACTATACACTTTGATGACTATAAGACGATTTTTAATCATGATTGATGATTGATGTTGTTAGAACTGTTTGATCTCTTTATCATCGTTCTTACCTGCATGTCAAACCCGCAATGAGGAAAGTAAGAAATAATAAAAAGTAGCTTACGCACAGGCTTAACTCACTGATTTAGTAGGCAGTATTTAAGAGATTATACTAACAGTGGGTAGATCTCATCCCTTATGTTGGGAGATTATGCTCAAAGTGGGTAGATCTCATCCCTTATGCCCACCGACATTGACATTGTCTGATCTCGCTGCACTATGAGTTGGGAATTCAACCTTTAGAGCATGCACATCAGTGCATTCAGTTTTTTGAGTTTTTATTTTGTTTTATCTTTTTTTTTTTTTCTCTCCCTTATATTTTCTTTTCTAATCACACTTATAATAAACTTCTCAAAAATCACAAAAGAACTCTACTATTATGAATGCTCTTAGGGTGTGTTTGGTTGGTGGGTTTTGCCCATAGGAATGGGTATGAAAGTGATTATTGTTGTTTGGTTGATAAGTTTTTAGAACACTACTATGGGTTTCGAATACCTCATGAATTGAAAAATCCATACCCAAATAAAATAAGGGTTTCATTCCCTTATTCATTCTCAAGCACTACTATTAGTAACCATTCTCATTCCACCCTACCACCAAACATGTTAAATACTTTCAAAAAAACCCATTACCATTACCAAGTATTTGATACCCATTCCGATTCTGATTCCGATTCCTATGTACGAATCAACACACCCTTAAATAGTTAGAAATTCAACATTTAGAGAGAAGAAATAGTAAAAAGTAAGATGGAAAGTTAAAAGAAATTGTCAGACAATTTGGTCAAAGTCGTGTTTGCCATTCTAATATTTTGTTTTTGGCAATGTGAAAGGAAGCGTTCAAACTTGGGGCGTGCATGGACCTTTGACTATCCACCCTCCACCTATTCCCCAATCCCCACCTGTCTCGTGTCTATTACCCATTCAAATTATTGTCTCCCATTCATTCAACCTACCAAGTCTTTACTCCTTGGACAAGTAACAAGTATAATTAAACGAGATACAAATTGTACAATATTTGAACTTCATTTACTCCCTAAGTATTTATTCAGACTTGATATATATACTCAGTCTAAGTAATCATCTCATAACAACAACAATGACAACTGTACTCCAATAAAATTATAAAATTTTTGGGGTAGGGGCCAGGGGAGTGGTCCCATTTGATCCTATCCTATATATAAGTGTGTGTGTTGTTGTGTTTGGAGCAATTCAAAGGAACTTGGAAATCATCAAAAGAAGTTGAGGGGTTTCTTGTCGCAGGAGAGAGGACACTGCGCTTTGCCTGCCTGCGGTGACAAAGCTAAGTGTCCTTCTCTTGTGACGAGAAGCCCACAATTTCTTGTTTAATTTGTTAATGGAGATCAGATGTGGGCATATCTTCAATATGTACTTCAAGAGTTGGTATAGGTCAGTAGCTTATTTTTATTGATTTTGTAATTCATTCCAATACAATATTTTGAGTTACAGGAAAATCCATAATGAATTTGGGTGAAGATGTCTTTGTAACCCTAGAACAAGCTGGGTGAAGCCATTTTGAGTTACAAGAAGATTCATGATGATCAACAATTGAAGTTTTGGCTGGGTAAAGTCTGTCTTCGGCATAAGCTAATAAGTTTTGGATGAAGCTTTTTTGTGACCTCTTTTGGGTTAACACCATCTTGTGATCCTTTGTGGCCTCTTTTGAGTGAACACCGTCTTGTGACCTTGGTCGCAATGGTGATCTTGGTCGTTCCTTTGTGACCTCTTTTGGGTGAACATCATCTTGTGACCTTGGTCGCTCCTTTGTGACCTCTTTTGGGTGAACGGTCGCTCCTTTGTGACTTCTTTTGGGTGAACACCATCTTGTGACCACCATAATCGACAAATGATCATATATAAGAAGGTAAACAAACTTAGAGTCATAGATGGACAATTCAAATCAAGAATACCATGCATATCAATAGATAGCTCATAGCTCTAACGGAAAGTCAAGAACTTTGTGATTACAGTTACATTAATTGTTCAATATTGTTTGATAATTGATAGTATGTAGATGAGCCTTATTTAATTGTCATTTTGACAATTTTTTTTTTTTTATTTGTTCACAATGTTTTCTTTCAGAAGCAAATAATAAAGAAATCTCTCCCCTGAGGTCATGCAATTAAGCAGTTCCGAAAAGTAAAATAGACAAAACCTGATCCCAAAATGAAAGAGTGATAGATCCTCTCCTGAGCTTTGACCATGTCTCCAAACACTCCTCAGCAACACTTGCAATCAAGATCAAGCTTTAAACATAAATGCCTCCAAAGACTCCTCAACAACACTTTGCAGAATGCATGCATCTCTTGCGTATCATCAGCATCATCCTCCTGTATTAAATCTAATCAAATTGTATAACTCAATAAGAGAAAAGAAAAGGACGTTTAGTAACTCATCTCTCTGCAACTTTGACTCTCATAAAAATTACAAAATTTTGATACACGCTGAAGGATTCAATTCAAACTGACCATTTCAAAAAGAACTACTCGGTAATAAATTACAGACAACTATATATGTTATAAGTGCAGTTACTAAGTGCTTCAATTCGGCAGCCTATACTAATTTATTTCTCATTTCCTTTCCTCATGTACAAGGGCGGGCAGTACTAGTAAGGCTATAATTAGTTTTATATATTCATCCATATATGTTTTATATATTGTGTTGCGTGCACTCCCGCCGCCTTGTTATCGGAGCCGGCAAAAGAGACCATAATGAGGTAAACTAGCCTAGGCTGCCGTGGTGGTAAAACTATTAAAATTTAATGTTATAAAAAATTAATAAATAAAATTTAAAAAATAAATAAATATGGGGGAAGAAGTCAAAATTAAATCTAATCCCGGGTGAGCGAGAGACCAGCGGCTGCATTCCTGAGATCAGTTTGGGACGACGATACCGAACTGCAAATTAAAGAATAATTGATTTTTAAACAATTTAGCACTACTGTTCTTATCTAGACTACAACGTTGTTGTAATAGGATGAAACCTCGAATTAGATGCCTCCTTGGTTGCAGGTTCGTCGCCTGGGATGAGACCATAATAATCTGGAAAGTTTTCATGCGGAAATATGAGCGCCGATGATAAGTCGTTGTATTCTGCACAGGAAATAGGATCCAAACTCGACAGATTCGTCCGGTCGGACGATAATACATCCGTCCAACCATAACCGCCGTCGCTGCAATTATCGTCATTTGAGTCCATAGATTTCAGTAGCTGCTCGCGGCAGCGCTCCAGCTGCCCACGCACGCACCGGAGCTCATCTTCCGCCTGCGAAAGTCGATGCCGGAGATAACAGATATACTCGACGCAGCCGTGAACGGGGAAGCGGTGGCGCATGTTGGCCTCGAAAATGATGGATTTCATGGCGTCCGCCTTCTTGTCGTCGTCGTCGATGTTCTTGAGCGTTTTAAGGATGTTGCTTACGCCGAAGAGACGGTGCGCGTTCTGGAATGTTTTTGGTTGGGTGGCCGGGAAATACTGCGCCAAGGCGCAGTCGGAGGAACACTTCCTTCTTTGGTGTTTGCAGGCTGCACAGGCTTGGCTGTTGCCACCTTTTACAGTCATGATCTCTCCTGTTTTCCTGCATCTTCTTTACTTATACTCTGTAAATTAAATATTAAATATCATTTATAAAATAATGGATAATAATCACTAACGGCCGATAGAAGCCCATCTTGAATTCAAATTAAAATTTCCCAAGACACCAGATACTGTACGGAAAAAAAAAGAGACCCAGCTGTCGTGTGGCTCTAAATGCTTGAGATGAATATGGAAAGGCAAGGCTAATACGCCTGCTGACTAGATGGCGTCAAAGTTTCAAAGTTCTTGGTTGATTATTGCATGTCTTTTAGAGCCCCTCAAGATCTTTATCATCTCCTTTGCAGCACATTTGGATCATAAAATATAATAATTAACATTAATGTGAATAGACATATTTCACTGTTAGTTTATTTTGGTTATTTATTTTTAAAAATACTCCGTATTATTTAGGGGATGCTTTTGCATGTGGAATAGTCATTTTTAGAGAATCATGGTATTAACTATTCTTAACAGATTTTTTATTATAAAAAATACTCCTTACACATATGCTTATATATAATATATATAATTAAATATGACAACATCTTTTCGGTGAGGCTGTGAGACACAACATGAATGTACAAATCAATGACAAGATATGCTAGTGCATTTAGAACGGGATAAAAAGAGTTTATTGTGTGCAAATAGCATATATATATATATATATATATATATATATATATATATATATATATAAATGCTTAGTTTAATTTGAATTAGTATTTTTATTCACTCTTGATGCCTGAGATTGAAAATGGAAGGAAATTCATTTCCATCCATTTTGGATGGATGAGAAATTCCGATTTTTCAGGTGTGTTGTTGTGGTACTCTTATATCTTATCCACGTGCATGAAATTGTATGCATGTTGCTTTAAATTTTAAAATGACAATGAAAATTAGAAATGTAGAACGAATTTAGCTCAATCTTTGATACCCTCCCTGGATCAATTTCATCATCATATTAATCTTGGGGGGTAATGATCTGATAGATTTTTGTTCTAGCTGAGCTGGATGATCATTGTTCTTGCTAATTAACAGGTTTTAATTTGAATAGAATATATATCTATTTATTTATAAATGTGCAGTATGGATCAAATGTTTGAAAACGCAAAAGTTGTTCGGCTGAAAGAACACAACAAAGGGAAGTATCTGGTGGCGAATAACGACGAGAAGACGTTGAAGCAGCGCAGCGATGGTTCCACAAGAAACGCCCTTTGGACGGTGGAAGCGGTGGAGGGGCAACGGTACCTGCGGCTGAGGAGCTGCCACGGGAAATACCTGACGGCATCAAACATGCCGTTAATCCCCCGGGGGAGTTGCCAGAGGGTGGTGGCTAGTTTGCCGGACAGATTGACCTCCGCCACGGAGTGGGAGATTGAAGGGGAAGGAATCGTGCGGCTCAAGACTCGGTACGGCCAATTCCTTAGGCAGAACGGCGGGATTATGCCGTGGAGGAACACGCTGGTGCACAACAACCGCGTCAACAGATCCTCGCTCTGGGAAATCGAGGTCATCAATGAGACCGCCGCCTGCGAGGCCGCGGTTAACAACTGCCAACTTGCTGTCCCTGATTCCACCATCACCAAATCGCAAGCTCTCGCTCCCATCAAATTTCCCAATCTCGCTAGTTTAAAGCTTAAACAACGTTCCAGACAAGATAGATGAAGGATCGCGTGATGTCTCTGAATTATGAAAAAAAAAAAGAAAAAAGTTGGTTTGACCAATAAATTAACAAACAAAATGGAACAGAGAGAGTATTATTATTGGAGATGTACTCTTCATTTTAGTTTTGGGAGGTTTTCGATTTTCTATTCCCCCTTCCCCATTTTTGTTTGTAATTGATTTTCTTTCCCCCCCTCCCCTTTTCCCTTTTTTTTTTTTTTTTTTTTTTTTTTTGTAATTGATTCTGATTTTATATGAATGAAACCTATTATTATTCACAAAATGAAAAATCCTGCTACTTGATTTCGAAATGATAATTATTAATTAATCTATAAGTATTCATGAAATCGAAATAATCCTGCTACTAATTATTATTTACATGATAATTAACCTATAATTATCCATGAAATTGAAATAATCTTTTTTATTTTTGATAGTCTAAAATTTAGGAGTTAATTATTTAATATAAATATATTTTTTGCTTAGCTTCTTGCATGGTAGCGTTGGGGCTATGACGACCTTGTTAGTTTCACGACTAAAGGACTCGATTTGTTAAGAAAATGGAATAATAGTAAAAAAGAATCAATCAAGCACAAATTAAAATATAATCTTTCTTATCTTCTTAGAGCGTATTTTTACACCGTTCCACCATAGCCGGTCCGACCGGTTTAACAAAGTCGAATTTATCGAGTCTTGTTCTAAGGCTTCTAGCAAGCAGTTCAGTTCGTTACTCGACAAGAAAGCCCGAAATGAGCATCGTGAGTTTCGCCTCTCCGCAGTACATTTACCGCGTCGGATTTGCTTCTCAAACTTCATCAAATCTCTCGAGAATCTTCACCAGCTACGCATTCTTCGCCCGCCATCGAAGAAGATTTAATGCAGTTTCGCTCTCTCTAACTCCAAAGGTAAGTATTAGCCGCCTGCGCATTGGGTTCCTTGTAATTCAGTTCCTGCTCAACTCACTATGTGTATTCACTAAGCAGTCGGATGAAGAGCTGCTGGTGGTGGTGGGTGGCGGAGCTGCCGGAATGTACGGTGCAATTAACGCCAAGACGGTTGCGCCGAATCTTAAAGTCGTTGTAATTGAGAAAGGGAAGCCCTTATCCAAGGTTGGTCTCTTCCTCTCTGACTATTGATGTGTTTTCTTTTTCCGGGATTATTTTATAAATATTCCAACACCTATATGGATCTCTGATAACTTGCTTGTATGCGTGATTGATATTTGCGTTTCTAAATTACAATTACTTATGTCGAGAATTCAGAAGTTTTTGTGCTGTCCTTCTCCAGGTGAAAATTTCTGGAGGAGGCCGCTGTAACGTGACAAATGGGCATTATGCTGATCATATGGTGAGTATGCTATAATGATCATTGTGTTACTGTTTTTTGTTTATCAATTAGAAACATACGAGGATTCTTAGTGGGTGTTATTTAAAACTTTAGTACCGTGCCTTGTTTTATTGTACCACTTGGAAAAGTTTGCAGCTTGGAAGAATATGTTTCCGTTATTTTCTTTATAGAAACAGTATGCAGTTATGCTTGAGATTCTCTAACATTAACTGTGTAGCTTTTGGCAGACAACTATCCAAGGGGCAACAAGGAACTGAGAGGCTCATTTTTCACTGTCCATGGTCCAATGGATACTATGTCTTGGTTCTCCAACAATGGAGTGGAGCTGAAAGTAATCTCAGAGCTACATTCACTTTGTTTTGTTTGTTTGTTTGTTTTTTTTTTCCCCTCCTGCTTGATGTTAACAAGAAAAAATTGTAATTCTGCCCCAGATTGAGGAAGATGGAAGGGTATTTCCAGTAAGCAATAGTTCGTCTTCCATTATTGATTGCCTCATGTCTGAAGCAAAGAAGAGGGGAGGTATGTACACTATCATGCTAGGAGATTTTAATGTCCTCTATGCTGGGATTTTTTGTTTTGTTTTTTTTGGTTGGGAAAGATGGGTGGGGTTCTTGAAAGTTTATGTTTTCATCCATTGATTTGTTAGTTCCTCAATCAGTCTCAGTGCAGACTGGAAAAACTGTCACAAGTGTATCTCACATTACTGGTGGGAAGTTCACTGTCAAGCTAGAGAAACGTTCTATTGACCATGTTGAGTATGTGGAAGCAGACTATCTATTGATTGCTAGTGGTAGTAGTCAGCAGGTATTTTATCTGATTGATAATGGTAATAGTGCATTGTTTAATAATTTGAGACATTGACTGAACCCCACTAATTTTACTTGGCATGTATTTGTGCTGCTTCAGGGTTATGATCTTGCCACTCAACTTGGCCATTCTATCATAAAACCTGTTCCCAGCTTATTCACTTTCAAGATTGATGATTTGCAGTTACTAGAGTTATCTGGGGTAGTTGCATTCTTGGTTTACAGTCTCTTATCACAAAGTTGCCTTGTACACTTTCTTTTTACTTTTTAGAGCCACAACTTTTGGTATTTAACATATGTTTTGATTGTCTTGATTCAACACCCTGTTTCTTTTTGGTGTTTGCTAATGACAGGACCCCATGCCTCATTGCATATGTTATAGATGCTTGTGGTAATGATGTATAAACGTAAAATCCTTATTCATATATTTCTGACGTATCTCTTTCAGGTCACATTTCCTAAAGTGAAAGCAAAACTGAAGTTAGAATCCCTTCAGAAGAATGTCCCACAGCTTACACAGGCATGCTTTTCTAACAAATTGTACATTGAATTAACTTTTTGTGTACAGAACCATAACCTTGAGTTGTTAGGTTGGTCCCATGTTAGTGACACATTGGGGACTTAGTGGACCGGTGATTCTTCGGTTATCTGCTTGGGGAGCACGTTATCTTGCAAGTTCAGATTATAAGGGTACAATATACGTTTTGAGTTTTATTTATTTCCAGTATAATTGTCCCATTTATTCTATCTAGTCATACATGAATGCAGGAACACTGTTGGTGGATTTTGCTCCTGATCATCATATTGATGATTTGAAGTCTGTACTCATTAAGCACAAGAATCAGTTTGCGGTACTTCTGTTTTCAAACCATTTCAACTCCATGAAGTTTCTTGTTCCTCATTCTGTTTACCTGAAGGAGATTTGGAAACTAATTTTAACTTCATATTTCACAATCAAATCTATGTTTTATTTTATTCTTTTAATGACCTTTTAACCTTACATCTCTTTCTTCCCATGCAGAGACAAAAGTTGCTCAACTCTTGTCCAATGGAGCTTGGTCTTGTCAAGAGATTTTGGAAGTATATATTAGACCGTGAGGTTGAATGACGATTCCAGTTGCAGGATCGCTGTTTATGTTCTATGCATCAATATCTTCTTGATTGTACATGTCCACTATTTCTTTGCAGGGACTAGATGGAGATATCTTTTGGTCTTCCATTTCCAACAATTTGGTGATGTCCATTGTGTTTACTTTAAAGCATTGTTCCTTTACTGTGAAGGGAAAGGTAAGCCGTTCTAGTTTTCTTGCTTTTATGTATTCAGTGGGTTGGTAACGGAAAGAATATTTGTGTTTTCATAATACTTGAAGGGACAATTTAAGGATGAATTTGTCACCGCTGGAGGAGTTCCATTGTCGGAGGTGCTCTCTTTTTCTTTTGCCACTACTTCAATGGGGATGCATCATATAATCTATATATATCATTTATATCAATTGCTCTCTTGAAACCTTGTGAGCTGATATGCATTTTGATTACTGAGTTCAACTTTTCTACCTTATGCCTTTCAAGCAGATTTACTTGAATACAATGCAAAGCAGGATCCATCCATGTCTATATTTTGCTGGAGAGGTTCACTATCCTGCTTATTATGAATTGCTTTATTTTGCTATGTATGATCTTATGTTTTGATACCCGATGATTTCTGTAGGTACTAAATGTTGATGGTATAACTGGAGGGTTTAATTTTCAGGTAATGGGAGTGTGTTCTATACTGATCTCCCACCATTGACAGATGTAGCTTGACATTTATTTATGCAGTTAATAAATTGAAATTGTATACAGCTTGGAAGGAGCAATAATTTAGCAGCTTCCTTTGTTATGTCTTATGAATTTGGTCATCTTCTTTGTTTTTCCTTTTTTCTTTGAGAGGGAGGCGGGAGGGTGGCTATAACAAACTTATTTTTGTTCTTCGCTTCTCTGTTCCTCATGTTCTAATTGTCTAAATTCCCAACTGCTGCAGAATGCTTGGTCAGGTGGATATATTGCAGGAACAAGCATTGGCAACCAATCTATAGCCAATATAGAAGGAAAATATGTTTGTGAAAGCATGCTTTGTGACAAGAGTTAAGGACAATATTGCCTTAGTCTCATATGATTCAGTTAAACTCCCATCCCTTTGCTTTGCTTTCAAAACCAGGTCGATGTAAATCACGGTGACTCAGTGGCTCAGCAGACAGGGTCAAATGCCGGTGCGCACAAGGGATCTACCCACTTTGAACATAATCCCCATACTGCCGCCGCAAAAGTTCGAACATTGGTCTCTTCTCTCAAATACTGCCTACTGAACCATTGACCTAAGCACATGCGGGCCACGCTATTTTTTATTCAATACCTAGGTGGAAGTTTTGTACACGAAATTGCTGTGAATGTTTCGTTTTCCTAGACAATCAATTATCATACATTTAGAGTTGTAAGTGGGATTTGTTGCATTTTCTTGACATCGACTTTGTATGTTCTGTTATGTCTTATTATGTGCTGATTAAGTTGCATGACCAATCAGATTAAGGGCGTTGCTGACTTTGCTTTGTGGCAATCCCTGTCGACGATCAATCAGTATAGCATAATGAAAACTTTATGTGAATTAACAGGAAATGGGATTACATTTTATATTCTTCTCACTTTATGTGTCATACCCATTTCCCATTGGCCGTGTACGAGTAATAAATTACTAAAGCAACACTATTAACGTAAGAAAAAGTTGGATTTGTTTAGTGATGCTTGCAAATCGGACTACTTGTGTTGTAGGGTGCACAAAGTGCAAATTACAGCCAATGTAAAGATGAAATCTCGTACATGGCACATGAACTTGTAAAGTATTAATAAAACTTACAACAATAATATATATCTTACATAAACTTGACTCTTGTAAGATTTAAATGCCGGTTTTTTTTTTTTTTTTTTTTTTTTTTTTTTTTTAAGAAATAAACAACTTCATTAATTAAGAGTCATCAGCGAGTACACTAAGAATAGTGGAGGGAGGTACATTCCTCCATTCGTTACAATCGGTATTCGCGGATCGTTTAGCAAACATAAAGTTAATGTCAAAGAGTTCACTAGCTAGATTCTTAATATCCTTAAGAATAAGATCAAAGTAGGAGATACAAGAGAGATCATTCAGTCTTTTAATGACAAACAGTGTGTGATTCCACAAGAGCCGATTGGAAGCCCAACGATTCAGTGCTTCTCTGACCGCAATGGCCTCCGCTGTTTTCGGGTGGTAAGAGCCTTCCCACTTCTTCTCTAACGTGCCCTCAGAGTCTCTAATGATGCATCCAATTCCTGTTCTTTTATTTTTAAAATCATTCGCCGCATCAACGTTCAATTTGAGCATATTGGAGGGGTTTCTTCCATATGTTCTCTGTAGTAGCAGTGGTCTCATCTTCATGCTTCATATTGGAGGGGTTTCTTCCATATGTTCTCTGTAGTAGCAGTGGTCTCATCTTCATGCTTCATATTGGAGGGGTTTCTTCCATATGTTCTCTGTAGTAGCAGTGGTCTCCTCTTCATGCTTGTTATGGATGGAAATGCCAGCTATCTAGTACAGTCCTTGACGTGAAATGTGCGGCAAGCAACAATTAGAACATTGAATCATTGTTACCATTTTCAGCTGGGTTGGAAGGCTACTTACCAACCGTAGTTTGAAGTCCAAAAGAGTGGCTTCAAGCTTGTAGAAGATGGTCAACTTTTCAATTTTCTTACAAAATTTGATATGATTTCCACCCTGTCATGTGCATGAGAAAGCATCTATACTATACAATTCAACATCCCCTAAAAGGATCTTATATATAGTGGTGGAAATCTCATTCTTTTTTCAATGTAGGACAAATGCTACTTTTAAGTATTTCTACATTCATTTTTCAACTCAAATGAGTTTACTTTGAAAATCAATTTCTCATTCACTGATTATCCGTTTTGAGCGTTCAATCTCTTCGTCTCATTACGAAGAACCCAATCCAAATTGAAAGTAGACTCTACATATATTTGTACCACAAAATAACCACTTACAATGCCACTTTTACTATTTTTTTAAACATTTTTAATTTACCAATTTCCTTTTTTCCACTTTTCTTGTACTCTAAAAAGTTTATTGCTGAGACAGCTTTTGTTATACAAACGTGATAAATGAGATAATTACTACAAATAATTTTGAGACAAAAAAGTACCCAATATAGGCTTATTAGTTTGTTAATTAATTACGGAGTATAACATATTGTCACTATTTTATTCTATTGACAAATATTAAAACAAAAAGAAAAAGAGATATGAGGATAATGGTTCGTTAAATTAGTATATCCTGTGATTTAACAAACATGTGCACTGACGCATGATGACAAGACTAGCACTCACCTTGTCCACCTTTACATCAGCTTTATGCTAATTGGTGCCCTTAACAAAAGCTTCATCATAATATTGGCCTATTGGCCTATTGGGCACGGACAGAGACCCCCATAACTACTTCCTGGAGCCTAAAGTTTGCAACTGGGAGTGTACAACCAAAAAAATCCCCACCCTTTCTAAATCCCAATTATCCTATAGTATACCCGTCAATTATTTGACCAACTCAACTAAAATTGTTTCAAATTAATCATTTTTTAAAAGATAAAAAATATTAAGTTAAACTAATAAAACTAGTGGCTAAATATACAAGGTACACATAATGATTCTATTCGGTAACATAATTAATTTATCAGCTAATTTTGACTTATTTGACCATTATTAGATGTTTGACATAGGTAAACATTCAATATAAATATTTGATTAATTAGCTTTTTGTAACTGTTTATTGTTCTAAAATGTTATAATTCAAAAAACTGTTAAAAATAATTTTTTAAAAAAGTAATTTTACATGTAATTCGCTATCAACTAACAGTTAATTTATCAAACATCTTTCTACAATTAATTAATCACTAAACCAATCAATTAGGCTATTTACCAAACAGCCCAATATGTAAGTTATTGTCACATAAATTGATCAATAGAGACTTCATGTAAATTGTCTGTAATCATCATTAGCCATAAGATAATATAACTTACCTCTATATTCTCTCTTCCTCCTCATATATAGATACCTATCAATTATTTGTAATAAATGACTTTCACTATCTATATTTAATACTTGATAGAATAGTTTCATTTATTTATTTCCTAACTTTTCAACCTCCTATGATGTCTAGCTACAAAAATTTTCTGAGTTGGATCAACCCCTTTTTATCCCTTTTATAGGAGAGAACCTGAATCTACCTTTTTCGTATTAAAATGCATATTCCAGAATCCAAAATTCTATCCACAACCACAAATGGCCCGCGAGCAATAGCCGGCATCCCTCCCTGTGTGCTTTGCAAATAACAGCTAAAAGCCCGCCCGCGACCTTTCCCCAGTCTTCTTTTGTTTTAATTTTTCTTTTTTCTGCTTGCTCCTGTTTCTCGTGACGACGTGACTCACTCCAGACTTCCGTCTTGGGGAAAGAGCTTTGGACTTTGGAGACTTGCGGAAAACGTCGGCGTCTTGGGTTATAATTTTTTTTTTTTTTTTTTTTTAAAGTTTCTTATTTATCGCTTAATCCTTTTTCTTGTATTGTATGCGCGGTATTGGTGCATCTCAGTATCTCTGGTTAACGATTTCTAGTGTTATTTCGTCGTATTTTCTTTCCGTTTTCTTTTTGTCTTTCTCATTTTAGCGCGCACACACATACACACCTATATATATTTATACACACGCGCTTTGCATAAGCTCACCTGTTTCTGTGTTTTTGAGCAGTTGAGCGGAGCGGAAAGGAGGGAGAAAATTAAAGCCGTTTCAACTCATTCCGATATACGTATAGGCGATAGAGATATACATAGATAAATAGATATTCATAGGTTTAGATATCCAGAGAGGGAGAGAGGGAGAAATGGAGGCGGAGGATAATGTGGTGAAGAAGATAACGATTGGAGTATGTGTAATGGAAAAGAAGGTGAAATGCGGCTCCGAGGTTCTGTACTTTTTGTTCTCAATTCGTATTAACGAACTCTTTTTGCAGAGCATGCACCAAGATTGTACTTCATTCTATTCTGATTTCGTCGCGTATCGGTCGGTAACTGAGTCGGTGATGCTTCCTTTTTTTGAACTGATTTCAGGTGTTTTCCGCGCCTATGGGGCAGATTCTGGACAGATTACAGTCATTCGGCGAATTTGAGGTCTTCATTCTCCATCCACGACTTTTCCGAGCTTAATCGTTTCGATAAAGCAGACGCGAAATTATTTGCTCTTGCGAGATTTTAGAAAATTAAAAATAGTACACTGAATAGAGTCGTTGTCAACTTATGTTTTCTTATTTATTTTAGATTTCAGATATAGAGTAGATTGGCGGTGTTTTTAAAGCTATACTATATTACTTTTACAATGCTTGTAGGTTGTACATTTTGGTGACAAGGTTATCCTTGAGGATCCGATTGAAAGGTATGGTTTACTTACCGATCTAATATAGCTTTGATTGATTCTTAGTATGCTGTTGCTGGATGTTTACTTTTGCATATGGATAGTCTTCTACTTATGCAGTTGTGCTAAGTTTAATACCTTTCTATCAGGATTATTGTATTCCTAAATCAGTCATTGCTACTATATTCACTTATGCAGCATAACCGGCTTCAAACATTAATGCATTATTGCTAACTTTGTAAACTGTTTTTCATTGCAGCTGGCCAATATGCGATTGCTTGATTGCTTTCTATTCTTCTGGGTATCCTTTGAAGAAGGCTGAGTCATATGCTAAATGGAGAAAGTATAAGTTCTTTTGCACTGCTTTATTTTACTGCTCTGTTGTATTTGGATGTGTAGGCACTTTGTGTAATTGTGTTGCTGCCCTATTGTACTTTGATAAATGGAATATGCTTATATGATGCATGTAGATGAGAGAGGTATACCAGTTGGTATGATTAAATTATATATTCCCATTCTCAAACAAAAGAAGATCAAATAAAAGAGTTGGAAAATAAGAACTTCATTTTGTTGAAGATAAGACTATAGAAGTGAAACTCTTACTTCACAAGAGTTGGATATTTAAGCTATTAAGTCAACATGTAACCATTAGATGTAACTTAGGGTGTTATTATATTTAAATCTTTTTCCTGTTTCCTCTGATGTTCATAGGATATAGACCCATGTGCTTTGTACTATGCATTCTAAAACAACTAGATTTAGGTGATAAAATATCACTTAGGTGCAGTTAAGCTCATATTTATATTCACAATCTTAATATGTAGGTATGTTTTTGCATTTTGAAAGCATGTTTGCTTATATTACTGTATTGACTCATTAATTCAGGCCTTTCCTTGTAAATGAGCTGGAGCCACAACACCTTCTACATGATAGGAGGAAAGTCTATGAGGTGCAGACAGGATTACTTTCTTTTCTATTTAGACTATCTGAAAACTTAAGAATCAAATGACGATGTTTTGGTGCTTTTTGGCTTCTCCTAAACCTTTTTCTTTATGGTGGCTGTTTATGTCTCCATTTTAGTTAGGACTCCTGCAAGTCCACCCTTTTGTTCCCTTCCAACATGTTGGGGGCACCTTCTAGGGATTTGTGTACTTGTTTGGGGAATGGGATTAGGTTCCTCTAAGTTAGCTTCAAACTAATAAAAAATGTTTTTCTTTTGCCTTTTCATTTCCAGGATAAATAGCTGTAAACATGGATAAACTTTAGAGAATAGGTCCCCTCCCCCTGAAGGTTGTTTCATGCTTCCTCTTCCTTTAAAATCTTTTGTGGTATTTCAGCGGCTTGAGATGTTTGGAATTCCTGTTCCAAGATATGCTTGTGTTAATAGAGAAGTCCGCTATCAAGAGCTGGATTATTTTATTGAGGAGGAAGACTTTGTTGAAGTTCATGGGAATCGCTTCTGGAAACCTTTTGTGGAGAAACCTGTTGATGGTAATTTCCATATATCTTTCTAGATTACTGAAGACAAATTGTTGTTCACAGAGCTTGTTATTTGAATTTTAAAGGTTGGTAGTGTTGTGGCGTAGCACCATTGGTCAACTTTCTTTTTTTCTTCGGATAATTAATGACTTCAAAAATAAAAAGAGGACACTAAGCTGGTGCTTACAAATGATTGACAGAAAGCAAACTTCTCTTAGAGCTCACTTGTTGAGTACTAGACGTCTAGACTATTAGAGTATTAGGTGCTTACAAATGATTTACAGAAAATGTTCATTTTTAGTGAACTAGTTGTTCATATTGTGTGCATTGATAGTTCATTTTCGAATTTTTTCACTTTGGATGTACTAAATGTTCATATTCAATGTTGTTCAAATTAGATAAAAATTGAGTATTCACAAGTCGTGCGACATGGTGCACCATAAATATAATTTCCTTTCTTATATACTTTAAAAGTACTCCTCAAGTCAAAGCCATATAATGTTGAGTTTCATTCCATGTGTGATCTTCTTGTCATAGCTTTTCATCAACATGCATACTCATATTCTTTTTGTTTTTGGGCAGGTGATGACCATAGCATAATGATATACTACCCCAGTTCAGCAGGGGGAGGAATGAAGGAATTGTTCCGGAAGGTGAGAACATAGTGCATTAGTGCATTACCATATGCAATTAAGACTGAGTGTTCTTGATGGTTCATGTATCACTTCTAATGTGCTAATGTATTATTAGATGTTTATTAACAAGGCATTGTATTAGGCTGGAGCTCGAATTTCGAAAGTCTGTTTTTACCAGTCAACAAAGTTTTAAGCTTGTACTTTCCATTACATTGGATTCTATTCCTTGGATAATATATAATGTTAGCTACCAGTTCAAATGACTAGATGAGCTCTGTTTATGAAGTATTGCAATTGGCCTACTTAGATGAATGTTGGTGTGAGGTGTGAAGTATTTATTTGGGCACTGAGAATATGGATGTTAAAACTTTTAATATAGGGATTGGTTCAGAGTTTGGTTTGTCTTTACACATACCATCTTTTACCTACAGGGATTTTATTTGAGCCTAGGCCTTAATTTGACTAACAGTATTGTCAATGATTGGGTAGTGTCTACAGTCATTTTCATGTGTTTGGACTATATCTCTTTCAGGTTGGAAATCGCTCTAGTGAGTTTCATCCAGAGGTTAGAAGAGTCAGGCGTGAAGGGTCCTACATATATGAGGAATTCATGCCAACAGGGGGAACAGATGTGAAGGTGCTAAATTTATTTTTCTGTATCTACTAGACCAGTGAGCTTTATAAAGTTCTATACTAGAAAAATCATGCTACATTCATGTATAGGAGCTACCTGTTTTCTATTGAATGACATGCAATTGTGAAAATTCATGCCATTGCAAGAGACTAAACTTTCTAAATTATATTCTCTTTACTAATAGCGTTTATTTATTTTTGGTTCACTTTTCCATATGCTCTGTCGCCTAATAGAAGACATTTAAGCAGGCTGTCCTTTCCATTTGTATATACTCTCCTACATCCTTTGCATAGAATTATCATGTTTTAGTGTGTCATTTTATATAGGTATACACTGTTGGCCCTGATTATGCACATGCAGAAGCAAGAAAGTCTCCTGTTGTTGATGGTGTTGTAATGAGAAATCCTGATGGAAAAGAGGTGATTGTTTTCTTTGCAGTTGCCATTTTTAATGGCGAACAACCAGTTGTTATAAACTAGTATGTTGCCTTCATTTGACGTGTTACAGAAGTCTTTAGTAGTTCACATGCATCCATGAAACAGCAATGGGGTGATGGGCAGACAGACTACTGGCTTTTAGTTAGGAAGTATCTGAGAGGTATTGGTTTGTTTGCAGGTCAGATATCCTGTTCTACTTACCCCCACAGAGAAGCAGATGGCCAGAGAAGTTTGCATGGCCTTCAGGCAATCCGTAAGTCACTTGTATACTTGCAAACCGTTGAGATCTTCACTTTTTGTGAATTAATTCTTATTGAGTTTTAGGAGGTGTACTATATTAATCAAATTCTAAGTAAATTTTGATCACCTCCAACTGAATGTGCTGAGAAACAGAAGCTGATATTTATTTGATAAATGATAAATTCATATATATATTTTTTAATAAACCCTCCCACGAGAGGAAAATTTGATCCTGGTTTTACAGGAAATAGTTTGATCAACTTTTCGTTAGCTGTGATGTCTTATTCTTTAGGGATAATTTCCCTTTTTTTTTTTTGGTTTGTCTCATTAAATTAGGGAAGACATATATGTGCATATATGGAAAAGTTTTCCAAAATGTGCATGTTTTGAAACCTGGACAAAATGTGTAAAGTGTCTTTGTTAAATGTGTTTATTGGATAGTCACATTTACCTTATGCGTTTAAATCATTTTTTAAAATTCACGAAAATTAATTTTGTGGAATTTTAAGAAATTAAATTTATAATAAATGCATTATGTTTATGCTTGTATACCAATTTTTTTCCCATGAAAAATAAGAGAAATACACCGTATGCCATATTTTAAAAAAATAAAACGCATAAACAAAACGAGTTTATGCCTTTTTATTCCCGCCCAAAGCTACTAACGTAGTTTTGTTTAGTTTTAGGAATGAAATGCATTTTATATAAAAGAAACATAACAAGCGAATTATTAGGGAACAAAAGGAAACAAAATCAACCTTCATAAGTCTACTCATTCCAGCAAACTTGTTCAAAATTCAGTTGCCATGTAGATGATTTTGCTTTTAAGGTAATTTTTTGAATTTTTGTATTTTTTGTTCTTGTTTTTCTTATTCAAATGATTTTTTCAGGTTTGTGGCTTTGATCTATTGCGTTGCGAGGGGCGTTCCTATGTTTGTGATGTGAATGGGTGGAGTTTTGTGAAGAATTCCTACAAGTAATTCTTTAGCAAGATTTCTTCTTCTTCTTCTCTCTCTCTCTCTCTCTCTCTCTTTTAATACTTTGTATACACCTAGAGTCCTAGACCTCCCTTTGTGTCATTAGAAAAAACAAGCTGTTTAGTCCCTAGTTTGGATCAAATATCTTTAATCTGTCAGAATTTTCACTATATATTTAGCTTATGGCACTGTGCCTTATACCCACCTGCTACACAAAAAATAAAAAATAAACATAGAAGGAAACCACTCGAGCAAGAGAGAAAGGAGTGATTATATGTGGTGGATATAAAAAGGATTTGGACCCCTGGTAATCTGGTTTTCACTTGGTCATTCTTGATTCAGCAAACTCATGTAAAGTGGAAGGCGTGTTGATAGCAATGGAATTCTTGTATGCTTTTTGTGTTTGTTCAAATATGCATGGTTATTGGTTAATGCTTGTGCTCTCTACTATCTACCCCTTCTGAATTTTGTTTGTTTAATTGGTATTTATTTGTTTAGAAATCTTTAAGGAATTACTGCTGACTGCAGATACTATGATGATGCTGCTTGCGTGTTGAGGAAGATGTTTCTAGATGCCAAAGCCCCACATCTTTCCTCAACTATTCCTCCTACGTTACCATGGAAGGTCAATGAACCAGTTCAGCCTTCTGAGGTCCTAACACGCCAAGGAAGTGGGCTTGGCACGTTTGGGCAATCTGAAGAGCTACGCTGTGTAATTGCTGTAATTAGACAGTAAGAAGACAGATTTTACTGTTTCTTAGTTTGCTATTCCTAGGAAAAAGTTGTTTGTTAGCTTACATAGTACATACTGTTCTGAATTGGTCCAGTGGTGATAGAACTGCGAAACAGAAAGTAAAGTTGAAAGTTACTGAGGAAAAGCTGTTGAATTTGATGTTAAAATACAATGGGGGAAGACCAAGATCTGAGGTCTTTTTCTGCTCTTCATTTTTCTACTTATTTTGTTTGTTCATTCTCAATGTTGTCCAAGCATGATTTTTATTCTTTTGCAGACAAAACTTAAAAGTGCTGTTCAATTGCAAGATCTCTTGGATGCAACAAGAGCTTTGGTACCACGAACTAGGTAAACTCTTGCTATAATTTCTCTTATATATCTATATTCACTAATTCTTTTTATTAATATACATTGTCTATGGTGATACTGTTCATGGAGAGAGAATCCAAAGCTGAAAAATATTTTTCTTAACAGAATTGATCTCCTAGATCAATCTGAACTGATTACATATTCTTGTTCTATAGACCTGGTCGAGAAAGTGATAGTGAAGCAGAAGACCTTGAACATGCTGAAAAGCTTCGTCAAGTTAAAGCAGTTCTTGAGGAGGTCTATATGATAAATCTTCCTATTTTACAATCTATAATGATCTTGAGAGCTTTCTTGAATCCATGAATTACATTGTGTCTGCAGCTAATGTGGCAAATCTTAGTGTTATTTCTTGTTTCTTTCCGAAACCTTAGTTCATTGTTAATAGTTGAGAATTTGTTTCCAGGGAGGACATTTTTCTGGTATTTATAGAAAAGTTCAACTGAAACCACTCAAGTGGGTTAAAGTTGCAAAACCTAATGGTGAAGGTGAAGAAGAAAGACCTGTTGAAGCTCTTATGGTTCTCAAATATGGCGGTGTTCTCACTCATGCTGGTAGAAAGCAGGTGCTTGATTAAGTTCAAAATCATTTGATACAGTTTTTGCTTGTGGTCATGATTGATTTTTACATTGGCTATAACTTCTCTGTTTGTTAAGGTGGGCATATACTTGCTAACCCTTCCACTATGTGTTTCTCAAATTCTTTTGCAGGCCGAAGAGCTCGGCAGATATTTTAGGAATAATGTGTATCCAGGTTACAATTTGACCTAATTCTCTCTCTTCTTACCAGAGAATGATGCCATGTTTAACAACTGAACATGTCATTATTCCATATTTAACTTGTTTAACAATATACTCTCGCTTTTTATTTATTTATTTTTTCATTTAAAATATAGCTTCAATATCCAGAGAAATACCTGCTCCCTTTTATTGTTTATTTTTCTCTGTTTGATTTCCATTGATGTGTTTTCTGGGTGAAGCTTCTGCAATCCATTACTTTTGTTTTGAAATTCAGGTGAAGGTACAGGCCTTCTTCGTCTCCATAGTACGTATCGCCATGATCTTAAAATATACAGTTCAGATGAAGGTCGAGTACAGGTGCACTTTATATCTCTGGATGATTAACCTATAAGTTCTTTCCTGCTTGACCTTGAATTTTGATGCATTTGGATTTGGTTGGCACTTCTTATTTCCTTGCTCCCTTACATGTCTTTTGATTGTTCTAATAACATTTACTTTCTTGTCTTCGATTATGAATGTTGCCTTCTACATGGTCTGTCATAGATGTCAGCGGCTGCATTTGCTAAAGGTCTTCTGGACTTGGAAGGACAATTAACACCTATACTGGTATGTTGTTGTTGTTGTTGTTGTTTTTTTTTAAAAATAAAATAAAATAAAATAAAAAACCAGACATTTTATTAAGCATCAAGCAAATACAAAGAAAGAGACTGGACCAAACCAAAGTCTTAAAATAAACGGGAACAAACCTGCTATATAACCATCAAAACCTGTACCTAAACTCGAAGTGACCATGCCTCCTCTCCCGGCCACCACGTGCCCGTGCTCCACTGTGCCCCCTAGTGCGCTCAAACTGCTCAACATAGCCCTCATCATCAAAATCTTCATCATAGTCTGAAAATCCAAAGCTCGGCTCATAATCCGAGTCCGAACTCGGGTCTGCTGAATGTAGCTCCGAGGTGATCCTCGGACTGAGTAAGCCCTCCAAGTCCCTCGACCCTAGTAGACTAGTCGCAGTAGACCTCAACAATGCCAACTGATCCGGTGTGCTCATATCCGAGGTATGACAAAATTCCCATGTCTTATTCGACGGAATAGACACGGTATCCATATTAGTTCTACACAAGTGAAATGCCTTAGCATTTGGATTTAAAGCCTTAGACTCAATTCTGCTAGCTTGGCCCAATTTATTTATCCTAGGCCCACTAGGAATCAAGCTTGATCTGAATGGTGTTTCTTTTGTACTTTGTGTTTGTTTATATCTGTGTGTAAATGAGACTATTCATTCTTTTGCCTGTGTTTCCCTTTATAAAGGTGTCCCTGGTTAGCAAGGATTCTTCTATGTTGGATGGACTTGACAATGCTAGTATTGAGATGGAAGAAGCAAAGGTTTCTCTTACCTTGGCACTTGTGCTATCCATATTTTCTTAAAAAAAGTTAAAATTGTATGTATATATTCACATTTGACTTAAACTCCATTTAGTGCAAGTTACTGTCAATTCACAATATGGTTAAAGAAAAGTAGTTGGCAAATAGAAAATATGCGTTTGATATAATGAATTGAGTGCCACGTAGTATGCATTATACTATTATAGTCAATTAATTCTAGGTTCACAATGGACATTCTTGAAATTTCACAGAATGCTCTATAGAGGTAAGCTAGTTCTTGATTGATGATATTCATATTATACTAGTATAGTAATATGTATTGATAATAATGATTATGCTGCCGTAATTGTATGGCCTGGAAATATCTCCTTCTCTGTATTGAGTCTTATGAGATGCAGAAGCTACATACTGTTCATAATTCATATCAGCTCATGTATGACACATAATATATAGATAAATAAGTTTCATTTCTGGATCTCATTGACTCCGGAATTGCGATATTTTGCTTTTATAATTTTAAATTGAATTTTCCTTTGTTCCCCTCTCAGGCGAGATTGAATCAGATAGTAACTTCTGGATCAAGGACCATTCACAATAATGGATCATCAGTGCAACCTTGGATGGTTGATGGGGCCGGAGTCCCTTCAAACGCACATGAACTTTTGCGTGAATTGGTAAAAGTCTAGATATGAATCTAATTTAATCAATTTTCCTGGCTGAAATGAGAACTCATTGTTCTAGAATCTTGATGGTGGTCTTGCCAATCTTTCATGCAATCTATATGAGATCTGAAATTGACTAATCTTTGTTAGTAAATATTCTAATCTTTGTTTTGAACATATATCTGTGACCAGGTGAAATTGACTAAGAAAGTGACAGAACAAGTGCAGCTTCTTGCTAAGGATGAAGATGAAGAACTTGCTGAAACAAGCTCTTATGATGTGATTCCACCATATGATCAAGCGAAGGCACTTGGTAAAACAAATATAGATGTTGATCGGATTGCTGCTGGTTTACCTTGTGGTAGTGAGGGGTTCCTTCTCATGTATGCAAGGTGGAGGAAACTTGAAAGAGACTTATATAATGCACGCAAGGAGTAAGTCTTACTTTACCTGACTATTGTGGCTTGTTCAGGCTTTCAAGATTCTACTTAATTCATGAAGTTTTTTTGCATCCACTTTCACTGCCCAAGGCTTGACATTGCATAATGTGCAATTGGTTGAGATGTTGATTTCAAAGATCAGTTGTGTTGGCAGTGGACAGCATTATTGAGATTTTTCCCTAATGCTGTGTATTTCAATTACAGACGATTTGATATTACCCAAATTCCAGATGTTTATGACTCCTCCAAGTAAGTTATCTAGCACCAGTTTAGTCTCTTTCTTCATGTGGAACAAGTATTCTGCATACACCAAGGTTGCTTTACCTTACTTTTAGAGGGTACTAATGATATGCATGGCATCTATGACTTTGGAGGTGATTTTTATATGCATCTCCTTCTCTCATTTCCCCCTTTTCTTTTGCCTGGCTGCTCTACCTTGCCACCTTGGGTGAGCAAATCAATTGCACTGCTCGAATAGACATGCATTTGAAGAGTGTATCCAACCCTTCCGGATTTAGATGTGATTTCCTGAATCTTGCTACCTTATGCAATTATTTCAGAGGGAAGTTTTTCTTCTTAAAAAAGTTTCCCATCATTGATCAGTGACAAAACTTTCAAGACTTCTCTTTCATTTCTCTGTCAAAGACGTTTAGATACGGAGTACCTTTTATTGAAGATGCTGGAATTCCTACATTATGACTGTGTTTGCTTCTAAGTCTTAACGTGTCCTCCGTTTTTTTCTCTCTTTTTTTTATTATTATTATTTATTTATTTTTAACAGGTATGATCTTTTGCATAATTCACATCTAAATCTGGAAGGGTTGGATGAACTCTTCAATGTTGCACAGGTACGAATATAATCAATATCTAACATGAGTTACTTCTTATGTAAATGAAAGAGAGATAAAAGTGATAGCTGACACATGCTCAAAGCATTTTTCTCTACAAATTTCTTTCTATCAATCAAACTACAAATATGGCAAACCAATGTTTAACAGTTTATATAGGCTATGCTTCCTGTCTCCAGATTCTGTGCATTTGTATATGTGAGGACCAGCAGTGTCGTCAGAACAGTTGTTGTGGTTCTGTATGATTTTATGATTCTACTTCTTGTTTTTCAGTTACTTGCAGATGGGGTAATTCCTAATGAGTATGGAATTAATCCAAAGCAGAAGCTAAAAATTGGATCAAAGGTAAAGATTGCCCGTGCCTGTTAAAATTAATTGTTCTTTTTTGCATCCTAACCCCTGCATAACATACACTTTTCTATGTATGGAATGTTAGATTGCTCGGCGCTTGTTGGGTAAAATTTTGATTGATTTGAGGAATACAACTGAAGAGGCTGCCAGTGTTGCTGAGTTGAAGAATAATCAAGAACAGCAGTTAACAGTTAGCAAGAATGGGAAAGAAGAGACAGAGCATCATCTCAAGCCTCATGCAAGGTCAAAGGAAGAGACAGAGTATCATCTCAAGCCTCATGCAAGGACTGAAGAACCTAGAAGAACGAGCTTCACTAGTGAAAAATCAGTGGATCAGGATGATGATGATGACAAGGAGACCAAGTACCGTTTGGATCCAAAGTATGACAATCCTATGGTTACCTTCTGTTGGCTAAGTAATCTGCAAAGATTTATCTTTTCTGATAAGGAAAGTGAAGATGGAATACCTTTATTATACATAATTTCTTAAATTTTCTATTCTTTCAGATATGCAAATGTGAAGACTCCAGAACGGCATGTCCGGACACGGCTATACTTTACATCAGTGAGTACTTTATTTAGGCCTATTGTTTTGATCAACCAACTGTACCCACAACTACTAAAGTACTGATGCTCTTTTTTACAACCTCTCCTTTATTCTCCTCCTTCCCTCAAAGGTTTGAAATTGATTGTTCTTGATATTTGTCAATGAGAAAGTCCCAATTATTTTTGTTCCTGATTGTACCCATCCCTACAATTCATTTCTTAATTAATTTTCTCATGGCAGGAATCACATATTCATTCCTTGATGAATGTTCTGCGTTATTGTAACCTGGATGAATCTCTTCAAGGAGAGGGGAGCCTAGTTTGTGATAATGCTTTAGAACGCTTATTTAGAACAAAGGAGCTTGACTACATGAGTTACATTGTATTGAGAATGTTTGAAAACACAGAGGTTGGTATTCCATAAATCATTTTTAGAGGATTATGATTTTCAAGATATTGACATTGTCTCTGTAATATTTAGCTCATTTCCTGGGTTCTGATTGGTCAGGGAAGGGGTTAATATCTTGTGATTCTGCTTATTATCTGAATTTGTATACAGGTGAATTTAGAAGACCCTAAAAGGTTTCGCATAGAAATGACTTTCAGCCGTGGTGCAGATTTATCGCCTTTGGAGGTAATTAGTTTGCATTTTGGAGATTTCATTCAAATATTTCCATAAGAAGCAATTGACCTACTTGATTATGCCTAACCATGTAATCTTTATTGTGCCATGTATATAGCCAAAAGATGAAAGATGTTTTCCTATGAATTTGCAGAATCAAGATCCGGAGGCTACTTCATGGCATCAAGAGCACACATTGCCTATAATGGGTCCTGAAAGGCTTCAAGAATTAGGATCATATCTGACATTGGAAAAGGTTGAAAAGATGATTCGTCCTTTTGCCATGCCTGCTGAAGATTTTCCACCACCATCAGTCCCTCAAGGATTTTCAGGATACTTCTCAAAAAGTGCAGCAGTGCTAGAGCGTTTGGTAAACCTTTGGCCATTTCACAAGAATGGGAGCACCAATGGGAAATAGTTCTCAATTTTTGTAGTTTTCCTCGCCAGGGTGAAGCTCAAGGCCATTTTCTGCACACGGATGATAACTCTCATTCTTCGCTCATCATTTGTTCATATATTCATATATAGAACGTTGACAAGGGTGCGTTTATTTTGTATTGTTTCTTCCACCCACTTTGTCTGTTAAAGACTGTCAATGTAAAAGAACTACTATACCTCCTGCCCATACGTTGGTGGGCATGGTTCATGAATGATGAATGAACAGGAAATTACTTGCCCGGATGCAATTGTTGGCGATGCATCATGGATTTTGTGATGGTTTGTACTAAGTCTTTTTCTGTAGTCCCCACACCCCTCTCATTGCATCAACAGTTGCGCAAGTATGGATCTTGGTTTCTGTTCATTGCATCAACAGTTGCGCAAGTATGGATCTTGGTTTCTGTACTCGCTGAAGTTGGCTTAGTTTTCTTTTTTAATCTTAAAATAAAGAACGGCTGCACTTAGAACTAAGCTGCTCAAAAAAGTTAAGCTGTAATCAATAATTAATTAACTGATTAATGATATCCAATATCCCACAATGCATGTGTACATATTAACACGTGGATGATGGACATATGGCATACTCTAACTAAAAGTTTCAATATTAAGCACTCGAGCAATTACCTTTCGTCCAGACTAAAAACACAAATCCTAAAATCCATGGGAATATACAATAAAGAGGAAAGTAAAGGCATAGTCAGGTATATATCAAACCACAAGCTTTGAACAACTGTAAGTAGAAAGTAGCATATGAAGTTACCACAAATCCCCGTCAAACTAAGGTTTAATACTACTGGCCTGAAGAAGACCCTCCCGAATTTGTGAGGAAATGTCTTTCACAGCACCTGGACCATGTGGGATAAACACAGAAGAGGACTTTGAAGATGAGCCAATCTCCTTCATTGTGTCGAAATATTGAGTCACCAGAACCATGTCCATGATGTCTTTTGCTGTTGTCCCGGGAACATTCTCTGAGAATGCAAGGACACTGTCTCTTAGCCCATCCACAATCGCTTGGCGCTGACGTGCAATGCCAAGTCCTGACAGGTATTTTGACTCTGCTTCACCCTCAGCTTTCTTGATCTGCAGTATCTTCTCAGCTTCAGCCTTTTCATTTGCGGCAACCCTAAGCCTTGCAGCTGATGAATCCACAGATCATTAGACTAATCAAATTTGTGTGAAGCATTGACAAAAAAGATCAAGTTGATTCATATGAATGACAAATCCAAGGAACAAAAAACATCAAATGCAAGGCAGTCAAATATGTAAACATGCAAAACATAGTAGTTGCATAGTCCTAAAATTTTTGCATTCAACTTATATATAGACTTTACCAGCATTTATCTCATTCATTGCCCTCTTTACATGAATATCGGGCTCTATATCCACAATGAGGGTCTGGACAATCTCAAATCCATAGGTAGACATAGCCTGCAAAGTAAACAAAAACAAAACCTCTCAATCTAATGATGTAAGATACAAACATCAGTATATGTATGGACTCTTAGTAGCCAATATCATAACCTTCTCTAGCTCATCCTCCACTGCTTTAGCTATTTCATTCTTCTGCTCAAATGCAGCATCCAAATTCAATCTAGGCACACTGGCCCGTATGACTGCCACCATTAGTAGACAATAGTTATTTCCCAAAGGCAAGATAGTCAATATCCACATGACAATCTTATGCAAAACTAGACAGGTACAAACTGTTCATGCACTTTCTAATTCCTTAATATTGCTCAAATAAGGGAATAATGATAAGAGTGTAACATAATATATAAAAACCAATAAACTAAGAAAATGTTCATGCAAGAGAAAATTACATTAACATGTAACTAGGAGGTGACAGCTAACAATAAGGAACAACCATAGGGAATCCTACCATCAAATACATATGATTGGATCTGTGACTTTGTGTTCGAAAGCTTGTAAAATGCATCAGAAGCCTTTTCTGCCAAGGCTCGGTACTGAATGGATGCAACCACAGTCACAAAGACATTGTCCTGTAAAACCAAAACCAAAGCATCCTGAGTAATTACAAAAAAATGTGAAATGAAAGATAAGTAATCCCACCTAACACAAGGATTATCAACCTTCTGCAATTCAAAGTAAAATATCATCCAATTTTTAAAGAAGCTATGTAGAATTTCTTTCTAAAATCATACAATGGAAAAGGCAGAATGTTAATATCTCAAATCATATTTCACATTCCAGAAAAATATATAAATGTGTGTGTGTGTTTACTAGTTCCCTTATGATTGTTTAGAAAGAGAACAGAGTTCTTGATTGTGAAAAGATAATTGAAATTAAACTGATAAACACCTTTGTTTTTGTTTCACAACGAACATCAATCTGTTGCACACGCAGAGAAAGAGTACCAGCAGATTGATATCCCAAACACCAAGGAACACAATGACACCCAGGCTCCAACACATCATCAAATTTGCCAAAGTGCTCCATCACAGCCACAGTGGACTGATCTACTTGAAGACATCCAAGTGATTGACCCATTGTTCAAACCTACAAACACCATAATACATTATAATCATCTAGATTCATTCAAGATGCCATCATTGTTCTTTCACTTCTCTGATTCATAATTACACAAGCATCAATAAAACCTCCCAACAACCATGATAGCAACTTCACTGATTTAATTAAGAAAACAAGTATCAACTGTTTTCCCTCATTTTCTTTTTACATCTAATTAACCAGGCATTTTTTAACTTTTAAAAACAAAAGGAAAATGTTATTTACACCAAGCAATCATGTACATCTGAAGTTACTTTTAACAAGTGTTACAATCTTTTCCTTCATTAGATATTCATAAATTGGTGCACGTAGTATTATTATATAAAACATACACAACAACAGATCAACAAACTATGAAAAACAGAAAGATCTACTGAAACTCAAGGAAGGTAACACATTACACACACGTCGAGTGCTTAGAAAATTCAAGGAGAGAACATAATAATGGAATAGCAATCATAATCCAAGCATAACCTAATTCACCGAACCACAATGTTCGAAGATGAACATACTAGAATTCGCTAACAAGAGAAAGAAAATACAAAATAAAATTGGCAGGAAAACACCAGGCGTTCCAATTCTCAAGCGTAAGCGAAACATCACAGTAAAAAGCTCACCAAATCAACAGGGAAATTCCAAAAGAAAATCACAATGATACATCAAACGAGTAGGATTCATAATCATAAAAATATGCAACAACGTAGCTGAGGTTCAAGAGATCACCTTCGAAGAAAAGACAGCAACGAGGGAGTTAGAAATTTCCGGCAACTTTCCTGGCGGTAAAGTAGGGTACAATTAGAATTTACAGAGTATTTATACGCGGGTAGGAATTAGAATACCATACCACGAGCTGTTAACAAACCAGCGGACTCCACTTATGGCAAAGGTGTGATATCAATCGTGAATCGTTAAGCTTGGGGGACACGTGGCATTATTCTCTATTCTCATCAAATTTCGAAGACAATGGTCATCTCAATTCTCTAGTGGAATGAGACCAATTTTAGTACTTCTATTTTAATTTTTAAAAAATGCTATTTATACATACTTTTATTACTATTTTTAAAATTTTTTAATGTAGAGGATGTGATATATAATATATTTATATATGTGCTATAATTAATTATATTCATTAATATTTATTTTATTAAAATTATATATATATATATATATATATATATATATATTATTTGTGTATATATATCAGTGTGGGTGTTAGCTTAAGTATTATAAATAACTAGTTATATAATTGTAATAAAATGATGATTAAATATAGAAAAAAGATATAATATGTGTAAGTGTATAGTAAAATTGATTTTTTTTTTTTTTGAAATAGTAAAATTGATGGATTTATTAAATAATAACGGTGTTATAATGATTGTAAGAGTGATTTTATTAAATAAAAATAAAATGTACAATATTTAAAGCATAGTATATACTTATTAGCATACAAAAAAGGAACAAAAATAAGGACATAACTTGAATTGCACATATTATATTTTTGAGCAAATATCGATTTTGGTCCTACATGTTAAAATTCATCACACCGATCATCCATCCATTTAAGTCATGTTCAAAATACTTAATTGTATTTTTGTTCTTTTCAACTTAAAGATCGCAATTTGAGTAACTTAAATATTTCAATTTGAGTATGAATAAAGGGATGTAACCCCTAAGATTGATCCCAATTCGCAATTCTCTTCCTCATAACTGCGAATTGGGATCGATATTAGGACTTAAATTTCTTTATCCATACTCAAACTGGGATCTTAATTTGAAAAGAACAAAAATATCTTAATTTCATATTTCTGCTTGTCTTAAACGAAGGAGTGACCAGAGTCATTAATTTTGGCACTAAAACAATAGTAGTGGGTGAAAATTGGCACTAAAACAATAGTCGTGCATAAAAATTGGTAAAAATTAAACATGTATCCCAAAACTCTCATTTTACTAATATTCGTGGGACTAAAATTGGTATTTGCTCTCATATTTTTATATTAGATTAGAAGATAGATTAGATCCTTCCAAAAAAAAAAAGAAGATAAATTAGATGAGATGATAGTGAGACAAATAAAATTTCAACATAAAATAAAAATAAATTTTGACTAAGAAAACCCAAAGTCAATTTAAGAAAAAAAAAAAAAAAAAAAAAAATATATATATATATATATATATATATATATATCAATCTCAACAGAGCATACGGAAAGTTTAGTAAAGAAACCTGAAATCCGGTACGAAAATGGGCAGAAGTTTCCATGTAATTTCCCAGTGATTTGATTTCTCCTTTCCCAATGGGGTCGATAACCCTTTGCCGAAGTTCCTGTATAATTTACGGAGAATCAAATTGCAAGTTCTTCGTGAAAAATGGCGCTTAGCTTAATAATCTTGGAAGTTGCTGAGGAATAACGCATAAATAAATACTCTCTATCTATCTATAATCTATATATACGTTATATGTTTGTGCACACTCAATATGCAAGAACGAACTCAACACAGCAGAATAAAATACATAAGCAAGCTAAGGAAGCACTGCAAAGGTTTCCGAGAAACAGAGAGTTTATTAATTAATTTCATGGCTTCGTTCAGTAGTGAAAACGACAGCGGGAGGAAATGTAAGATCGTACCTGCGATCGCTCATCTTCTATTCACAGTATCCAACACGATGCTCATAATCTTTAGGGCCTACGTTAATCGCCAGTATTCCCTGCTGGCTTTC